ATGTGATCTTGTTTGGAAAGGTAGTCTTTGGAAATGAGGTCATACGGGAGCAGGGTGGGTCCTAATTCTATCTAAGTGGTCCCTTACAGAAGAGGAGAACAGACACAGAGACAGAGACAGAGGAGAGATGATCATGTGAAGACGTGTCAATAAGCCAGGGAACACCAAGGATGGCCAAGAGCTGCCGGAAGCTGGGAGAGAGGTGTGAAACAGTTTCTCTCTCAGAGCCTGCAGAAGGAATCAGCATGGCCAGTACCCTGGTTTGGACTTCTAGCCTCTAGAACTGAGAGATTATATACTTCTGTTCTTTAAAGCCACCCACTGTATGGTATTTTGTTACAGCAGCCCTAGGAAACTGAGACAAAGACTGTTCTCATTATAAGCTAATAAATAGAGAGCGCGATCAGTTGTTTTCTTGTAAAACCTCAGGAGGGAGCCGTGCAACAGTTTTATATACTTTGTGTGTACATAGATCAAGACCAATTATTAGCTGCTCTCTGATTAAGGGAGTTTTGCTGTGTTTTTAAAACCAAGTTTCTTTGAAATTTTCTGGAATAGGTACGTTAGGTCTCACTTTGAAAAGTAGAACTTACTAAAGTCTGAAAACATATTTTTTAACATTTTATTTTTTTTCAACATTATTACCAAGACTGATAATTTACATACCATAAAAGTCAAATGATTTAAATGTACAATTTGATGATTTTTAGCAAATTTACAGCATTGTGCAGCCACCACCACAATGCCGGTTTAGAACATTTCCAACCCCCCGCCAAAAAAAAGATCCCTTGTACCTATTTACAATCCTACTTTGCACCCCCAGGCCCAGGCAACTCCGAATGTCCTTTGTGTCTCTCTGGATTTGCCCATTCTGGACATGTCATATGAATGGAATCATATAATATGTGATCTTTTGTGACTGGTATTCACCTCGTATGTTTTTGAGATTCATTGATATTGTTGCAAGTATCATTTTGTTCCTTTTTATTGCTGAAGAGTATTCCATTGTATGAATGTACCACATTTTGTTTACCCATTCACCCATTTGATGGACATTTGGATTATTTCACTTTTTTCTTTGCCAGGCACCATCTAGTTGTACTGCACTCAGTCTGGTGGAGACTATGGTAGTTGAGGTCCATTAGTCCTTTGGACTAATCTTTCCCTTGTGTCTTTAGTTTTCTTCACTCTCCCTTACTCCTAACGAGGTGAGACCAGTGGAGTATCTTAGATGGCCACTCAACAAGCTTTTAAGACCCCAGTTGCTACTCACCAAAGTAGAACATTTTCTTTACAAACTATGTTACGCCAGTTGACCTAGATGTTCCCCAAGACCATGGTCCCCACAGCCCTCAGCCTAGCAATTCGGTCCTTCATGGAGTTTGGATGTGTCTATAGAGCTTCCATGACCTTGCCCTGCTCAAGTGTGATGGCTTCCCCAGTATTATGTACTGTCTTACCCTTCACCAAAGTTACCACTTATCCATTGCCTGTTTAGTGTTTTTCCATCCCCACCCCTCCCCTTCCTCATAACCATCAAAGATTGTTTCTTTTTGTGTGTAAGGCTTTACAGTAGTGGTCTCATACAATATTTGTCCTTTTGTGATTGACTTATTTCACTCAGCATAATGCCCTCCAGATTCATCCATGTTGTGGGATACTTCCCAGATTCATCATTGTTCTTTATTGTTGCATAACACTCCATGGTGTGTAGGTACCATAGTTTGTTTATCCACTCAACTGTTGATGGGCATCTAGGTTGTTTCCATCTTTTTGCTATTGTGAACAATGCTGCAGTGAACATGGGTGTGCATATGTCTATTCGTATGATGGCTCTTATTTCTCTAGGATATATTCCTAGGAGTGGGACTGCTGGATCATATGATATTTCTATTTGTAACTTTCTGAGGAAGAGCCATATCGTTTTCCAAAATGGTTTTACCATTTTGCATTCCCACTGGCAGTGCATAAGAGTTCCAGTCTCCCCGCAGCCTCTCCAACATTTGTTATTTTCTGTTTTTTTAGATTTGTGCCAGTAATGCCGAGGTGAGATGGTATCTCATTGTGGTTTTGATTTGCATTTCTGTAAGGGCTAGCGGTCGTGAGCATTTCCTCATGTTTGTTAGCCGCTTGAACGTGTTCTTTGGTGAAGTGTCTGTTCATTGCCTTTGCCCGTTTTTTAATTGAATTGTCTTTTTGTTGTAGAGATGTTGCATTTTCCTCTTGATTTTAGAGTTAGACCTTTGTCAAATTTGTTACAGCCAATTTTGTTTTCCCAGTCTGTAGGTTTTCTTTTTACTCTTTTGGTGAAGTCTTTTGATAAGCCTAAGTTTTTAATTTTTGGAAGATCCTAGTTACCTAGCTTATCTTCTGGAGTTTGTGTGTTGTTAGTTACAGTTTGTATCCTGTTAATGCCGTGTATTAGGGCCTCTAGCGTTGATCCTAGTTTTTCTTCTATGATCTTTATAGTTTTTGGTTTTATATTTATGTCTTTGATCCATTTTGAATTAGTTTTTGTGTATGGTGTGAGGTAGGGGTCCTGTTTCAGTTTTTTGCAGATGGACATCCAATTGTGCCTGCACCATTTGTTAAAAAAGACTGTCTTTTCCCCCATTTGGTGGACTTTGGGCCCTTGTGACTGATCAGGTGACCGTAGGTGGATGGATTGCCATCTGGGTTTTCAGTTCTGTTCCATTGGTCAGTGTATGTGTCACTGGACCAGTACCAGGCTATTTTGACTACCATAGCTAGATAGTAGGTTCTGAGGTCAGGTAGTGCCAGTCCTCCTACTTTATTCTTCTTTTTCAGTAGTGTTTTACTTATCCGGGGCCTCTTCCCTTTCCGTATAAAGTTAATGATTAGTTTTTCCATCTCTTTAAAGAATGTTGTTGGTATTTTGATCAGGATTGCATTGTATTTTTAGATTGCTTTGGGTCAAATTGACATTTTCACAATGTTGAGTCTACCTATCCATGAATATGGTATGTTTTTCCATTTATGTAGATCTCTCTTGATTTCTTGCAGTAGTGTTTTGTAGTTTTCTATGTATAGGTCTTTTACATCCCTGGTTAGATTTATGCCTAAGTATTTTATTTTTTTAGGGACTGTTATAAACGGTATTGTTTTTCTGATTTCCTTTTTGTCGTTCTCTTTATTGGTGTATAGGTATCCAACTGATTTTTGTATGCTTATTTTGTATCCTGCTACTCTGCTGAATCTTTGTATAAGTTCCAGTACTTCCAGTAGTGGTATGTCACTGTGGTTTTAATTTGTCTTTGTTGATGTTGAGCATGTGTGTAGTATAGCCATTCCTGTATCTTCTTTGGTGAAATGTTTATTCAGAATCTCTGGCCCACTATTTAATTGGGTTATTTGTCTTATTATTGATGTGTAAGAGTTCTCTGTATTTTGTGGATGCAATACCTTTATCAGTTGTGTGAATCGCAAATATTTTATCCTATTCTGTAGCTTGTCTTCATTTTCTTTTTTTTTTTTTTTAATTTTTCTATTGTCCTTTAGGTGAAGGTTTGCAGAACAAATAGTTTCTCATTAAACAGTCAGTACACATATTGTTTTATGACATTGGTCTGTCTTCATTTTCTTAAGGGTATCTTTTGAAGTGTTAAAGTCTTTATTTTTTATGAAGCCTAATTTATGATTTTTTTCTTTTGTGAATTGTACTTTCGATGTCATATATAAGAACTTTTTGCCTAAATAAGGTCATGAAGATTTTCTCCTATGTTTTCTTCTAAAAGTTTTATAGTTTTAGGTTTTACACTTAGATCTATTTTTCATTTTGAGTTAATTTTTGTGCATGATGTGAAGTAAGGGTTTAAGCTCATCTTTTTGTATGTGGGTATGTTTGTCCCAGCAAAATTTGTTGAAAACACTATCCTTTCCACATTGAATTGCCTTGGTACCTTGGTTGAAAATCAGTTGACTATAAATGTAAGGATTTGTTTCTAAATTTTCAGTTTCTGTTCCATTAATCTGTATGGCTATCCTTATGTCAATATCACATTGTCCTGATTATTGTAATTTTATAATGAGTGTGTGCATACACACAGATATATGTATATATGTAGATATATCTATATCTATATCTATATATATATATATGAAATAAGGAGTCCTCGTGGCGCAATGGTGAAGTGCTCGGCTGCTAACTGAAATGTTAGTGGTTCTAACCCACCAGCTGCTGCACAAGAGAAAAATGTGGCGTTCTGTTTCCATAAAGATTATAGCCTTGGAAACCCTATGGGGCAGGTCCACTCTGTCTTATAGGGTCACTGTGAGTTGTAATCGACTCGATAGCAACAGGTTTTTGGTTATGGATACAGTATAGATTTAAATATGTAAATATATATATAAATATAAAATATAACATTTTAAAATCAGAGTGTAAATCATTCAGCTTTTCTTTCTTCAAAATTGTTTTGGTTATTCTGGGTCCTTCACATTTCTATATAAAATTTAGAATCAGCTTGTCAATTTATACAGAAAAAAAGCCTGCTGCAAATTTTGATAGGAATTGTGTTAAATCTATACATCAGTTGGGAGAGAAATTTTAACATTCTTTTAAGTAGAAAGATTATATTAGGAAATGTTTAAAAACTTTTATAAGCAGAGACAACAACTCAAGAAAGAGATATTAGGGTTTTTCCTTTAAAACTTATTACTTTGTTAGATTATGAACTTTTAAAAAATAATCGCCATTTATTGAGTACTCATTGTATGTCCAAAAACGGGCTAATTATTTAATATTCTTTTGTTATTTAATCCTGGCTCACCCTTTAAGTTTTTAAAGATGCTGTTGTTAGGTCTGTTGAGTTGGGTCTGACTCTTAGTAACCCTGTGTACAACAGAACGAAACACTGCCTGTCCTGCGCCATCCTCACAGTCGTTATGCTTGAGCCCATTGTTGCAGCCACTACGTCACGCCATCTCATTGAGGGTCTGCCTCTTTTTTGCCGGGCCTCTGCTTTACCAAGCATGATATCCTTCGCTAGGGACTGATCCCTCCTGTTAACATGTCCAAAGTATGTGAGATGTAGTCTCGCCATCCTTCTAAGGAGCATTCTGGCTGTACACTTTCCAAAGTTAAAGATAACAAGATATAAAGCAGGTGTTACATGAAAGACAGTTGGGAAAGTTGTTATATTGATTGTTTCTCTAGTGAAAACATTCTTTGTAATCATTTCTAAATCTTATTCATGATGGCGTATTTACGAGGGATTATAAAATACTCTGCCAGTGTATCTACTCCTTTGTAGATAAAATACCTTGCACACATGTACAAATGTAAATACAAAGTGAAGAAGGAAGCAACTATTTTAAAGGTGATTCTGAGCCCAAGTGCCCCTGTTTGCTTCTGTGAGGTATATAACAGTGAGCTTATAGTATAGGCTTGAATAGCTGTGAATAAAATTGTTAATTTGAGGGAGGAAGGGAAGTGGTTATAAATTTTAAGGTACTGTTTCAAAAGCATATGAATTTTCATTGCAACGTATAACAGTGTTTCTATTCTTTCCTATTCTTCTAACTTCTTTGTTTGCATTAGGAGGCACTATCTTAGCAGAGCTTTATCATGCTCTTTCTACAGACTGCTGTCTTTTCAATGTCTTATGTTCTAGAAGGTCTGATTTCTTCTCTCATTGAGGGCAAGAGAAAGGGAGAATGAATAGTATTTCATCTTTCACTATGTATCTTCATTATGCAGCCGTGTAGTCGGAGGCCTTTGTGCATGAAGACAGATTTGTTCTATGGCCTCGGAGTTGGGTGCCAGGGACGATGGCAGCTGCAGTGAACTGGCAAAGCCCCTCTATCTTCAGTACCTGGAGAGGGCTCTCCGGTTGGACCATTTCCTGCGACAAACATCGGCCATCTTCAACAGGAATATTTCTAGGTATGCTACTCCATCTTTTAATTCTTCCCAGCATAGTGTTCTATCACATTTCTGAAGTATTGTCATCCCTGTAGATTTTCAAGTATTTTGTGGTATGTTTGATGTTTTCTTTTTCCTTCTTTCAAATAAGATGTAGTCAACTTATTCAAAGGTTCAGTTTCTTCTCTAAAGTGCCCAGTTCTGCTAACCTTAAATTTTAATATTTTGCTGGGTCAGATGTGATTGTGGACTCACCATTTTTCAATTTATAGTGATGACAGTGAAGATGGACTGGATGACAACAATCCTTTACTGCCCCAGTCTGGGGATCCCTTAATACAAGTTAAGGAAGAACCTCCAAATTCATTGCTTGGTGAAACTTCTGGAGCAAGCAATTCTGGAATGTTAAACACGTACTCACTGAATGGAGTTCTACAGTCAGGTCAGTGTGGTGTGACATCCCTGTTTGAGCTATTACTTCTCTTGGGATAGTCATCTTTTCATTCTTTTATTCTTTATGTTTTTTTACACAGAATCAAAATCTGACAAAGGGAATTTATATAACTTCTCTAAGTTGAAGAAAAGCAGAAAATGGTTAAAGGTAAGAGATAAGGCAGAATGTTTCCAATCCAAATAACCTACTAAAATTTCTAATAGAAGAGAAAGTTATTGACTCATTCTGGCAGGTTGATAGAGATTTTTCTAGATATGAATCTTTTTTCTGGATATGTTTTTTTGAAGAGGTAGAAAAAAATCTAGAGGATTCCATAAGTCATTTTAACAAACATTTATTGAGTATAAAGCATGGGGAGAGTGGGAGGATACAAAATTATATCAGATAAGATCTGTGCCGTCTCTGGCTCACGTTTTAATCAGGAATATAAATCTACTATTTCATCAGTCCCTGAGTAGTTCATTCATCCAAAAAATGTTTCCTGAGCACATCCTACCGTTCAAGTGCTGTTATAGATGTTAGGGATACATCAGTGAACAGACAGACAAAGTCCCTGCCATGTTGAGCTTACATTCTAATGGAGGGAGGCAGACAGTAAGCCTGTACGCTAATCAATATGGATGACATCTTTAAAGAGGTAACATTTCAACTGACTTGAATGATCAGAGAAAGCCATGTAAAGATCATTTCAATCAGAAGGAACAACTGCAAAAGTCCTGAGAAAGGAAGCACACTCTGTATGTTAGGGAGAGAAAGTAGACTGGCATGGCTGGAGCGCAGTGAATGAGGGGAATGATAGAAGATCAGGTTAGAGAGTCTGATCACGTAGGGCCTTGTGGGTCATGTAAAGGAATTTGGATTTTACTCTAGTTATAGTGGTAAGCTATTGGAGTGTCTGTAAGCAGGGGAGTGGTATAATCTCTATACTCTTACAAAATTAAGTGGCCCTTTGGTGCAATAAGGAGCCCTGGTGGCTCAGTGGTTAAGCATTTGGTCAATAGTTTGAACCCACCAGCCTCTCCATGGGAGAAAGATGAGGCAGTCTGCTTCCAAAAAGATTGCAGCCTTGGAAACCCTATGGAGCAGTTCTACTCTGTCCTGTAGGCTTGCTATGAGTTAAAATTGACTTGACGACAGTGAGTTTGGTTTTGATTTTTTGGTGGTGCAATGGTTAAATGCTCGGCTGCTAACTGAAAGGTTGGCAGTTTGAACTCACCCAGCGACTCTGCAGGAGAAAAACCTGGTGATCTGCTCCCATGAAGATTACAGCCTAGAAAATCCCATAGGACAGTTCTGCTTTGTCACATGGGTTAAGTCTTTGGTAAGCCATTGGAGTGGTTGCAAGCAGCGGAGTGGTATAATCTCTACACACCCACTCCTCACTTACCGACATGGTTTGGTTCCAATGAATAGGTTGTTATGCGAAAATCGGCATTATGTGAAAATGGAGTATGACCACATCAGATCACAAAATGGAAGATGACTGTATCATTACATAACTGCCAAATTGCATCATTACCAAACCAAAAAATGGAGTCCTGGTGGCCCAGTGGTTAAGAATTACAAGTGCTAACCAAAAGGTTGGCAGTTCAAATCTGCCAGCTGCTCCTTGGAAACCCTGTGGGGTGGTTCTACTATGTCTTATAGGGGCTATGAGTCGCAATTGACTTGATAGCTATGGGTTTGGTACATAACTGCCAAATTACATCAGTACGTGACTGCCAAACCATTGAGAATCATGGCCCAGCCAAGTTGAAATAATCTTAACCATCACAGCCAACGTTACTCTCACCTTGCACCTTGGCATTCATTATTGCCAGAGATGTACATCGTTACTGTGCAAAATAGTCGGATAGTAGATTTTTTACTGTTGTCATAAATGCAGGGTGTTGGATAACGAGACAGTTGATAAATGAGGAGTAGGTGTACTCTTAACAAGATTACTGTCTTGGCCAGACTGAATTAAGGGTAGTATTTCTTCTATTAAAATGAATTTTCTCTATTTCGTACTTTTCCTGTGAAGAGCTCAAAGTAAAGGTACTCTATCATTTTACTGCTAAGCCCTTTAAAAGGCTTATGTGTAAAGAGTCTAATGTGCCTCATATCCGTGAGGGTTTAGGTTGTTAGGAATGCAGAAATCTTTATGTTTAACCATCACATTTAAAAAATTGAGATATAATTCACATGCCATAGATTTACCCTTTAAATTGTACAATTGGCTGGTTTTTAATATATCCACAAAGTTGTGTAACCATCACCACTATCTAATTCCAGAACATTTTCATCACCCCAAAAAGAAAACCTTTACCCAGTAGCAGTCACTCCCCATTCTCCTGTTCCCCCAGCTCTTGGCACTGCAACCCCTCATCTTCTTTGTGTTTCTGTGGATTTGCCTATTCTGAACATATCGTATTAATGGAATTATACACTATGTGATCTTTTGTGCCTGCTTTCTTTCCTTTAGTATACAGTAGCCACCCCTTATCCGTGGTTTTGCTTTCTGTGGTTTCAGTTACCCATGGTCAACTGCAGTTTGAAAATGTTGAATGAGTATGTAGCGGGATGAAGTCTCACGCCATTTGGCTCCATCATTCATATAACTTTTATTACAGTATATTGTTATAATTGTTCTATTTTATTATTAGCTGTTGTTAATCTCTTACTGTGCCTAATTTATAAATTAAACTTTATCATAGGGATATACGTATAGGACGAATCATAGTATATATAGGATTCGGTACTATTCACTGTTTGAGGCATCCATGGGAGGTCTTGGAACGTCCTCCATGGATAAACGGGGACTACTGTAATGTTTTCAGGGTTCATTCACGTTATGTCATGTATCAGTACTTCATTTCTTTTTATGACTGAATAATATTTCATTGTATGGAGTACTACGTTTTGTCTCTCCATTCATCAATTGATGAATACTTGAGTTGTTTCTCCTTTTTTAGCCCTCACGTTTGCTATGTTCCTGTATACCCTATAGGTAGCTTTTTTTTGTTTGTTTTCGCTTGGTATTTGACATTTAGTTAAAATAGCTTATGTATATTTTAAGCACTTAATGCCTTCTATCCTTGTTGCTGTTTGCTGCATTGCCCGTTTTAATGCTCTGTAATTTATGCCTAAACCCTTGCTGTGGAGTTGATTCTGACTCAGGTTGATAGGTTCAGTGGGTATTCATTTGTTCTTCAGGTGAATTGGGAAAGAGTAGTATAAGGGAAACTGCAATGACTGTCCCCCAGCTGTTTTTGTCATTGTTTGGCATCTGGAAAAAAATGCTAGGATTATAAAAGGGGTTGTTTCCTAGCAGAAGTTACATTTCCATTTCCTTCCTGTTCAGAGCATTCTGCTAAGTGATGAGTCCAGTGAAGCAGATTCTCAGAGTGAAGACAACGATGAAGACGAGGAAGAAGAACTCCATCTCAGCCGGGAAGAGCTCCACGACATGCTGCGACTGCACAGATACCGGAAGCTCCACCAGAATAAGTGCAGTAAGGACAAGGAGGTGAGCGTTTCCGGAGCCCCGGGCCTGCATGCTCGCTGTTCAGACCTTCTGGTTTCCATTCACTGAAGATACAGCATTTTATCGTTATATTTAGGTGTTGGTGATGGTTATTGTTGTTTTGATGACAGTTTTATTGAGATTTAATTCACATACCAAAAAATTCAGCCTTTTAAAGTGTGCAGTTCAGTGGTTTTTAGTATAGTCAGAGTTGTACAACTATCAGCAGTAATTCCAGAACATTTTCATCACCCCGAAAAGAAACCCTGCACCTACCCCTTAACTGTCGCTCCCTACCACCCCCCCCAACCCTAGGCAATTACCAGTTTACCCTCTGTCTCTATAAATTTACCTGTTCTAGACTTTTCATACAAATGGAATCTACCACACGTGGGTCTTTGTGTCTGGCTTCTTTCACTTAACATACTGTTTTCAAGGTTCATCCATGTTGTAGTATAGTACTTTACTCCTTTTTAATGCTAAATAATATTATTCCATTGTATGGATGTACTACATTTTATTTATTCATCAATTGATGATGTTTCCACTTTTTCACTATTATGAATAATGCTGCTATGAACATTGGTGTACAAGTTTTTGTGTGGACGTATGTTTTCATTTCTCTTGAGCATATACCTCTGAGTGGATTTGCTGGGCCATATGGTATCTCTGGAGCCCTGGTGGCACAGTGAGTTAGTGTTCAGCTGCTAACCAAAAGGTCGGCAGTTGGAATCCACCAGCTGCTCCTTGGAAACCCTATGGGGCAGTTCTACTCTGCCTGTTGGGTTGCTATAGGTCGGAATTGACTTGACCGCAGTTGTTTTTTTTTTTTTTTTTAATGGTATGTCTATGTAAGTTTTGAATAACCGCCAAACTGTTCTTCAAAGTGGCTGCACCATTTTACCTTCTGGTGGTTGATTTTTAATATAATTGTTCCTTGGAAGTGTTTTCACTCTTCACACACTAACATTAGAATGATGATAGGTTTAAGTGGCAACTATTTAAAAGCTGTTACCAAAGCTTTCTGATTTTTGTGAGAGTGTGACACTTCGTACACAATGAGCAAAACATACTTGAAGACCTAAAAACCTTCCAGCAATTACTTAAGGTCTAAAGTTAGTTCCGAGAGCTTTGAATAATATGCTGAAGTTTATAAACCTGTAAAAGACAAAAACAGTAAGATATCTGACCAGCTTGATTCAGAGTTGCTCTTGAAAGTCCAAAGCTAAAACACTTAGTGCCGGAAATATTTGCTCATTTTTTTAAGTGAAGTACAAGATACATATAGGAAAGTCCACACATTTTAAGTATATAGCTTGGTGAGTGCTCATTTAGTTTTGACCTGGGCAGAGGACCTTATAAGAGTTCTCCCTATTATTCTCTATCTTGGTTTCAGTCCTTGGACAACTCATTTGGCTAAAATCCAGGAAAGAGATTCAATATTGGGCTACTTAATTTTAATTTATATTCACATTTATACATAATAAATAAGTGAGACAGTTAATGTGAGATTTGGGGGTCACTTTAAATAAAATGTCTACTACTCTGTATGTGGAAAAAGAGGAACCCTGGTGGAGCAGTGGTTGAACACTCAGCTGCTAACGGAGCAGTTCTGTGGGAGAAGACCTGGTGATCTGCTCCTGTAAAGATTACAGCCTGGGAAGCCCAGGGAGCAGTTCTCCTCTGTCACACTGGGTTACTGTGAGTCAGAACTGACTCGATGGCACCTAAGAACAACACCAACGTATGGAAGAGTTGTATTGTTCGTATATTAGAATTCTGGCATCGTAGGCACTGCTGAGCCCTGGTGGCACAGTGGTTACGTGCTTGGTTGCTAACCAAATGGTCGGCAGTTTGAACCCACCAGCTACTCCACAGGAGAAAGATGTGGCAGTCTATGGGGCAGTTCTGCTCTGTCCTATAGGATCGCTATGAGTTGGAATAGACAACGGCAGTGGGTTTTAGGCATAATGTTAGCAGAATCTCTTAGCAGGAGAAAAGAGAGAGAAGACTTAAAAGGCTGGATAATTGGGATGGCTGCTGTCTTAGTTTCTTAGTGCTGCTATAGCAGAAATACCACAAGTAGGTAGCTTTAACAAAAAGAAATTTATTTTCTCATGGTTTAAGTGGCTTAGAAGTCCAAATTCAGGGCACCAGCTCTAGGGCAACACTTTCTCCGTTGTCCCCTGGTCCTTGTCTCTTTTCAGCTTCTGTTCCTGGGTTCCTTTGAGAACTTCATGCGGCATCTGTCTTCCCCTATCTCTGCTTGCTTGCTTCTGTGCCTAATCTGCTCTTTTATATCTCAGAAGTGATTGGTTTAAAACGCATCCCACACTGATATGACCTCATTAACATAACAAAGAAAACCCATTCCCAAATGGGATTATATCTACAGGTATAAGGGTTAGGATTTACAACATATTTTTAGGGAACACAATTCAATCTGTAACAGCTGGTGACTCTTGGATCCAAATATAAGACCGTGAGCTAGAGTAGCAGCAAGAATCAGGAACCTTAGTAAATCTAAGGGCCTATTGGTCATAGAAATATGGTTTATTTCTTAGCTGATGAATTTCCAAGGGAGAAAAGTCTTTCTGCAGTGAATTGCATCTCTCATGCATATGTCAGGACTAAGTAAATAATCCCATGGAAATTCAGAAACATGAAGGAGTTCTCCTTAAGTTATTTCCATGTGCATTGCAGCTGAACATGTTTTGTTTGAAAGCCAAGTAAATAATTGACTTTGATATTCTAAATCCTTATTGATCTCTTTGTGGGAGGAATATTCTGCTAAGAGCTTTGATTTTCTCTGACTCAGCTTTCTGTAGTAAAGACGATGTTCCCTGAATGCTGCGCCACAGAGCACAGAGGCCCTTCTAAGCTGTAGTAGCAGTGTTCCCTGAAGGCTGTGCCACAGAGCGCAGATAGGCCCTTCTAAGCTGTGGTAAAGATGATGTTCCCTGAAGGCTGTGCCACAGAGCGCAGATAGGCCCTTCTAAGCTGTGGTAAAGATGATGTTCCCTGAAGGCTGTGCCACAGAGCACAGATAGGCCCTTCTAAGCACCGCTGTCTTTGTCTGCTTCAGTTGCAGCAGTACCAGTACTACAGTGCAGGCCTGCTCTCTACGTATGACCCTTTCTATGAGCAACAACGGCACCTGCTGGGACCCAGAAAAAAGAAATTCAAGGAGGAAAAGAAACTTAAAGGTGAGCATGTTGACCCGCCTTCCACTGTGACTCATTCTGGATCGTGTATGGCTTGCTAATGCTTTTAGACTTTGAACATAATCCATATATAATAGACATAGTCTCAGACTCTCATATTTAATTAATCACAAGTACTATTAACTTTATTTCATATTTGGTTTATGGTCATGTCTAGATTTAGAAAGACATAAGAACTGCAGATGCCTAGCCAAAGGTTTAGGCCAATTAGTTTATTCCTTTTTTCTTCTACACACTCTGCAAATGTTGAAAATGTTCTGGGAGAGGAAGAGGTTGATTGTCCACAGGGAGGTTGAAGAGTAACCCAAAGTCTTAACTTTGGAATAAGTTATAATTGTTGCTGTCTGAGGTGATGTAAAATAGATTACCTCCTGAGAACCTCTGTAGCGTTTGGTTTCGTGTTTGCCAGGAAGCGTCCTTTCCTCTCTTATTTAGCTCTAAGCAGCTGGAAACCCGGAAGGAAACAGGAAGGGAAAGTTTTAAACTATCTGTACAAGGCAGATTTTCTTCCCCTGAAGGTCTGAACTCTATTCAAAAAGACTCTTTTTAGCCTTCCTTTCTCCTACATCCTTCTTTTTTACCCGTTTTATAGCTCTTGTTTTCTCATCCTCCACAGCCTCCCCCACATTAGATATAATCAAAGATGATTCTGTCCTATCAGTTAATCCATTCTTGTCCTTTCTGTGTTAGCCTCTTTAACCACCTTACATGGCCACCAAGTAGTTATAACTGTCCTTCATTGTGACCATTGAGCCCATGATATTTCCTTCACCTCCTTTCCAGTTAGGTTCAGAAGAAATTAGTTCTCAGGTTTTATTCTGCATTTCTCTTTCCTGTAAGCAGAGAGTATCCAGTTTTCTTTTCCAAGGTAGTGAGATCTTCCTTTTGGAATATTCATGGGCCTGGATAGATAAAGGGATAAACACTCCTAGCCTCAGGTGGAATGAGGAAAAAACCTTGACTTTTCTTAAAGTGATGAGATTATTTACACTCCTAGCCTAAGGTGGAATGAGGAAAAAACCTTGACTTTTCTTAAAGTGATGAGAGTGTTTTGTGGCTCTCTCCCATGTGTTAGGGAAGAAATGCAACCTTGTGAGCGTCTGTTTCCTTTGCAGCCAAGTTAAAAAAAGTGAAGAAAAAAAGACGAAGGGATGAAGAACTTTCCTCTGAAGAATCCCCTCGTCGCCACCACCAGACCAAAGTCTTTGCCAAGTTCTCTCATGATGCACCTCCCCCTGGCACCAAGAAGAAGCATTTATCCATTGAGCAGCTTAATGCTCGGCGCAGGAAAGTCTGGCTCAGCATTGTGAAGAAGGAGCTACCAAAGGTGAGTGAGTGCCTCCCGCCCTCTGAGAGGGAGCTGTGTGAGATAGGTGCCTTAACAGACTGTGTCTGTATTTCAGAAATGACATTAGCCTGTTGGAATTAAGAGAATGCTGAGTAGTATTCTCTTCAGTTAATTATTTTTCTAGAACTGAGTCAGAATTCACAAAACAGTTAGGACTAGTTGTGTGATGCTTCTTTGCCAGAAAAATGGAGGAAGACTTCTTTGAGAAAGGAACACAATTTTCTTACATAACAGCAGTGGGAATTTGACAGCAAGTTGATGGGTGATAATAGCAGAAGTTAAAAGAAAAAGGAGATGATATGTTTCTTAGAGAATTTATAAACACTGGGATGTTGCTGGATAATCACAGGTGCTACAAGAAAGTGAATGATTCAAAAGAAATGTGTATAGACATTCTTTGTATTTAGTTTATTTTTTATAACACTTTATTTTGACATGTTTCAAACTTAAAAGTTGTAAGGATAGTGTAATTGTTTATATATTGCTTGTTATAAATTCAGTCCAGTCCTAATAGAAATACCAATAAGGTGTTATGGAGTTAGAAATATTGATACTATAAAGTTCATATGAAAAAACAGCTAGAAAAACACTGAAAAAAACCCACCAAACATTAAAACATGCTATAAAACCTGTGCAATTAAAAGAATGTAGTACTGGCCCATGAATAGTGGAATAGACTAGTAGACTTTTTAATAAATAGCACTGGGACAGTTGGGTAGCCATTTGGAAAAAGATAAAATTAGATCCGTATTGTGCACACGTAATCCAAATGGATTAGGGATCTCTATGTAAAAAATGAAAATGTACAAATACTAGAAGAAGAAAGTGATTCAGTTTCTCATTAAGAAATTTATGTAGGAAAGGAGTTTCTAACAGACTCTATCCAGAGGCAGTAAAAGAAAAAATTGATAAATTTGACTACACAGAAATAAATTTTTGCATGACATAAAAATAACAAAATCAAAAGATAATTGATAAACTAGAAGTAATTATTCACAATGTATTTTACAAAGGGCTATTATCTGTACTATATAGAGAACTCTTAAAAATTGAGGGACAAAGACCAAAAATTTAATAAACAAATGGGAAAAAGGTATACATAGACAATTCACCCCCCCCCACACACACACACCTTTTTTTCTAGCTCTATCTGCTGAGAGGACCTAGAAGCAATGACATCCCAGTAGCATCGAGGATGCCTGGCATCAAAATCTTGATTTCTAAACATCTTCTGTTCTTTGATTAAAGGAACCAGTGCTCCTTGGACAAGTGGTTGATCCAGGACTGGGGCAGTCTGTGTGTACGTAGACTAATCCATCTGTACACACCAATCTATATTTGTATATCTATCTGTATGATTCGAAGAGTCAGTCATACAAGACGATATACTCAGAGAAGTATCAGTCCTTTCTCATCCCTGCTATCTTGTTCCCATTCCTCCCCTTCCTTCCACCCGTTTGCCACCTGCCCCTACAGGGAGTCAATGACTTAAGTTTCTGGTTTATCTTTCTTGAATTTGTTTTGTGCAAATGAGCAGATACCTGTTTGTTTTTCTGTACCCCAGTCTTACATACAAGGTAACATACTATAGATACTCATTTGTGCTTTACTTTTTTCACTTAATAGGGTGAGCCTGATGAAACATCTTGTGACAGAAAGTAAGGAATTGCATGAAAAAAGTGGAGTTGTCACAAGAACACAGGAGCCAAACTGCACGAGCTCCTGATAGCCAGTGGAACAATTTGAGGAACAAATTCAATAATGATAGTATTGAATTTTAACCCATAGAATAAGAGAAATATTCATAAGTTCCTAGTGTTATAAATAAATAGATCGGGAAGAAGGATAGCTCTTCGTTACAGTAGAATTCCAATTAATAAATGTAGAAAGAAATAGAGAATCATCAGTAGGCAAATACCACAGCAATAATTATTTCAGACTAGATCTATTAATGGATGCTAAAATTAGAGGGCAAAAGTTTGAGGAGAAACAGGATTTGCGTAGACTCAAAGTATTTTCCCTAAGATACATATTAACATGAAGGGAAAGAGTAATTGTAGTGGTGAAAACTGGCAGAAACCTCCTTAACCAAGTAGTCAAAGTCAGCATCACCAGTAATTTAAATTTCAGCATCATGAACTTTTTGATGTGATGCTCTGAAAGGAACACATCATTTCTGTGGTACTCTTCCCAAAAATGTATAACCTCATTTCAGTCATGAGAAAACATTAGAAAAACCAAAACTGAGGAACATTATATAAAACAGCTCATCGGTATTTTTTCAAAAATGTCACGTACATGAAAGAGAAAGATTGAAATATTACAGACTGCGAGAGACCAAGGAGAAAAGCAACTGAATGCAATGTGGGATCCTGGAACAGTACAAGGGCATTAGTGGAAAAATTGACATTCGAGTAAGACCTGTACTTTTAGTTAATAGCATTGTACCGATGTTAATTTCCTTTTCTTAATAATTGTACTGTGGTTAGGGGAAGTGGGGGGAGGGATATAAAGGAACTCTGTACTATTTTTGCAACTTTTCTGAAGGTCTAAAGTTAGTTCAAAATAAAAAGTTAGAAAAAATACACCAAGAATCACGCGGGTACTGCCGTGTATCTTTTACTCATCTTTGCCGGTTGTTGGTGTCTTAGTTATGTCGTGCTGCTGTAACAGAAATACAGGTTGGTGCTTTAACAGACAGGTTTATTTTCTCACTGTTGAGGAGGCTCGAAGTCCTAATTCAGGGTCCGGCACTAGGGGAAAGCTTCTCCCTCAGTCAGTCTCCCTCAGTCCTTGTCTCTTTGAGCTTCTGCTTCTGGGTGACCTTCATGTGACTTCACATCTCTCTTCTCCACTCTCTGCTTTCTTAATCTCCTTTTATATCTTGTAAGAGAGTGACTCAAGACACACTTTATACTAATTCTGTTTTATTAATGTAACAAAGACAACCCATTCCCAAGTGGGATTATAACCACAGGCATAGAGGTTAGGATTTACAACCCATTTTCCGAGGACACAATTCAATACGTAACAGTTTGTATTTTGTTTCATTTGCTTTATCATTCTCTTTGTATTTTTGTATGTTATATATGTTGTTGTCGTGTGCCGTCGAGTCAGCTCCAACTCATAGTGACCCTACAGGACAGAGGAGAACTATCCCATAGGGTTTCCTAGGCTCAAATTGTAGGGGAGCAGAATCACCAGGTCTTTCCGCTGGTGGGTTCGAACCGCTGACATTTCTGTTCACAGCCAAGTGCTTAGCCATTGTGCCCCCCAAGGCATACTTACTTCTTTTTTTTCCTCAACCAGTTTGAAAGTTTGTGCTAAATTTACTCCTAATACCTCAGTATGTATTTCCTAAGAAGAAAACGTTCTCATATGTATAACCACAGTATAGTTATCCAAATTAGGAAATTTACTATTCTCAGGTCTACAGTCTGTATTCAGATTTTATCAGCTGACCCAGTAATGTCCTTTATAGCCCCCCTCCCCCCATTCAGTTCAGTATGCGATCTAGGACTACATGTTACATTTAGATGTTACCTCTTTTTAATCTCCTTTTATCTGTAACAGTGTCTCAGCCTTTGTCTTTTATGACATTGGGTATTAAAAAAACAAAAACCAAACCCACTGTCATCGGGTCAATTCCGACTCAGAGTCACCCTGTGGGACAGAGCAGAACTACCCCATAGGGTTTCCAAGGCTGTAAATCTTTATGGAAGCAGACTGCCACGTCTTTCTCCCGCAGTACAGTTGGTGGGTTCGAAGCGCCGACTTTTGGTTAGCAGCCAAATGCTTAACCACTTCACCACAGGCCTCTTCTGTGGTAAAATGTTCTCAGTTTAGGTTTGTCTGCTGTTTCTTTGTGATTACATTCTGGTTGTACATTTTGGCAGAATTACTGCAGGAGTGATGTGTTGTCCTTAATGTATCCCACTAGGAGACACGGGATGTATCTGTCCCAATATTGATGAGACTGGCTTTGATCCTTTGGTAAGGCGGTGCTTCCCCACTGTAAAATTACTGTTTTCTGCATAGTAATTAGTAAGTATTTATGGAGAGATTTTTTTCTTTATGAACATTCTTGATGGGAAAGTTATTAGAAAACTTGTGTAGCAGCTTGGTGAAGAGGCTTCTGATGACAAGGAATGACTTTTCAGTTGGAATATTTAAGAATCTTGGCTTTAAAGTGGCAAAAACTACTTAAGAATTAACAACACTAAGTTCTTGAAAATGGCTTAAAAACTCCCTTAAGCAGATAGTCTGAAGTGGAAACATAATAGTTGGAAATGACATGTAGGCCCTCTGTGTAACTTGGAGCCCTGGTGGCACAGTAGTTAAGAGCTACAGTATGCTTGGCTGCTAACCAAAAAAAAAATCAGCAGTTCAAGTCCACCAGCCGCTCCTTGGAAACCCTATGAGGCAGTTCTGCTCTGTCCTGTAGGGTCGCTATAGTTGGAACTGACTCGACGGCAATGGGTTTGGGGTTTTCTTTGGTAGGTATCTTTGAATCCATTGTTTCTTCAGAATCGGGAGGGAGGGCTTTTGAACACCAGGGAGCCACTCAGCTCTGCATTTTCTGTGTCTTCACCTGTATCAAATGGACCATCTCAGAATATCAGTGTACTTTTATTGAGTCTTTTTTTTAAGCTGGAGTTAAAGGCACAGTAAGTTGGAGACTGGGTTGCAGGCTGCTGATTCATCTTGTGTTAGATCTCCCTCAGAATTTTTTGCTGGAGAAGAAGAGGCATATGTGGTGGCAGGAATTGAGTAATAGTGACGGCAGGTTAACCCTGGTGCAGGGTAGGGCTAAAATCACAGACAGGAAGACTAGACTACCTACCTTCTCAGGATTCCTGCATCTGGGTGCCCTGCTGTCTCAGCTTCTTTGCAGACTGGTCCTGGAAAGCAGCGTGTTTTAATCAGGGTGGTGTCAGTGTTTGGGTATGTGGTTACGTTTTCCTGGTCTATTTTAAGCCTTATATATAACTTAAATTCTTTGCAAAAGTATACAGAGGACTCTATTTAAAGCAGCCACAACACTAGCTTATTATTCTTAATGCTTCTTTAGTAGCTTTATGGATGGTGCTGAGACAGTATTTTCTGGATGGCCTCTAGACGTGTCTTGAAGATGCTTGGCTTAACATTTTATTTTCTAACTCCCTCGGAATTTAATGAAAGACAGTGGCAGTCTACATAATCTTATAAATAAAATGTATTCTAAATAAAATGTTATTTTTTTAAAATTTTAGGCCAACAAGCAGAAAGCTTCAGCTCATAACCTGTTTCTCACCAATAGCCGGAAGGTAAAATTCTAATTTTATATTTTCTATTTTGCTGGCATATATTCTTGTTCTTAGGATCTGTTTTTGCTGTTCTTGTCTGTTGCACCATGTCGATGATGAATCTAACAGTACCTAAGAATTTCCAAAAGTTATTTCTAAAAGTCTATTTCATAAGTAAAATTGTTGTTCCTCAGATTTCTGGTATTTCACCCTTTTTGGGTGAGACCATTGCCCACTCTAGTTCCTTGGGAGATCGCTGAACCTGCCTGAACTTCAGGCTCTCCATCTCAGAAGTGATGTCAGTACTTCTGCCTTGAGGGAAGTAATACAACTTCCTTTGAGAATTGTTGTGAGGATCAGATGAGATAATGTTACTAGTTGTGTTTCCCTGGGCTAGCCACTCAACCAACCTCTGTTTCCTCATCTGTAAAATAGGGATGATGATAACACCAACTTAATGGGGTTTTTTTTGAAGAATAAATTAATTTAGTGTTTGTTAAGCTTAGAATGGTGCCTAGCATATGAGCAGTGACAGCTGTTAGTCTGTGATGTGCTTTGTAACCGCACATCACATCTCAGGTCCTTCTTAGCTATCCATTTGAGCTTTTATTTCATCTTCTAAGGCAGTAAGCCTGTGGATTTCTCATCCCTGTTGTTACCTTGGGGTATCTGAGACTGGGTCACTGTACAGTGGCATCAGTCAGGGATGGCGGAGAGAGAAGGTCATGCCCACAGGAGGACTGTCTTCACTAAACCAATTGAGAGCTGCTGTGTTTTCAAGCCCAGGGAGAACAGCCCCCTGATACTGCGTCCTCCCCTGTTCTGATAGCATTGTTGTCTTTTGCAGCTTGCCCACCAGTGTATGAAGGAGGTGCGTCGCGCTGCCTTGCAGGCCCAGAAGAACTGTAAGGAGACCTTGCCTCGTGCCCGCCGCCTCACCAAGGAGATGCTTCTGTATTGGAAGAAGTACGAGAAGGTGGAGAAGGAGCACCGCAAGCGGGCAGAGAAAGAAGCTTTGGAGCAGCGGAAGTTGGATGAGGAAATGAGGGAGGTAGGAGAAAAGCATAAATTTCTGGAAGTCCTAATTGCTGCAGCCATATCAAGAAATGGGTTTGTACTTCATAAACTCTAAGTCTAACCAATGAAACGATCAAATTTTTTTGTAAGACATGACCATGGGATAGTGATTGTCGTCCAGTAAGCCACTTGTGTTTTCTGGTTTCAGTAAGGTCCTCTCCCTGACTTCCACTTCTCTTTCCTGTGCTGACTTTCCCCGTCCTGTGCAGCCTTATTTCTCTGTATGGTTCTGAAGGTACAACAACAACAAAGACAAAGAAAACTGTGTGTCTTGGCTGGCTTGGTTGCAGGTGTTGGCTCTAGGGTTAATCTATTGGTAGATCAGGGCAGGATGCCAGATTTAGGGCCAGGTATGGATAGTGGACACTAGCCTAGTTTTCTGCTCCCCCATCCCTCCTATTCTACAGTTTTAACCTACAACTGTTACCGTTGCTAAACCAGATGTGAGCTGATCTAGGCTGTGTGTATTGGTGAGGGAAGCAAGAGGAGAGAAGCAGAGGACAGAATCATTGTGTTACCAGTGGTAAATCAGTTGGGATGAATGGAGGGAAAGTTGAGGTTTGGAGAAAGAAGAGACTGAAAGGCTGAGAAGGTGTTTTCTTTCAGGTATAAGTAGTACTCCTGTCAAAGTGAAGCTTTGGAGCCTCTTCTGAGCTCTTGATCTTCTCTTCCTTTGTCATGCCTTTAAGGATGAGTATGGATTTTGTCTAGTTCGCTCAGGTCCTCTGGGCAGCCTGTATCTTTGCATGCAAGGTAAATGTTTTATTGAGTTAGTAAATATTTGGTGCTGTTGGGGATGCTTATTGAGTTAGAAGCATTTGAGAGTTAGCTACAGATCTTGAGGTTTTGCAGGCAGCTTGGCTTATAATCTAGGTTTATAAGACATTCTCTGAGGTATGTTGATAGCTAACTGATGGGAATTGCAACCATGATTATGTTGACTTACGTGGCTTTCTCTGAACTTTTGAAATAAAGCTGTTTTTGATGGGTCTTTCGTTATTGTTTTCTTAATTTATTTTAACACGTGGTAGTTACGTCTTTAGGGTATAAAGAGATGTTATTGTTTTTCATTTTTACTTTTACAGGAGCAAGTTTTATTACTTGACTTTTTTTTTTAATTGTACTGTAGGTGAAGGTTTATAGAACAAACTAGTTTCTCATTAAACATTTAGTACACATACTGTTTTATGACATTGGTTAACAACCCCATGACATGTCAGTACTTTCCCTTCTCGACCTTGGGTTCCCTATTATCAGCTTTCCTGTCCCCTCCTGCCTTCTAATCCTTGCCCTGGGCTGTTGTGTCCCTTTAGTCTCGTTTTGTTTTATGGGCCTGTCTGACTTTTGGGTGAAGGGTGAACCTCGGAGGTAACTTCATTACTGAGCTAAAAGGGTATCCGGGGGCCATATTCTTGGGGTTTCTCCAATCTCTGTCAGGCCAGTAAGTGATCTTTTTTTGTAAGTTAGAATTTTGTTCTACATTTTTCTCCAGTTCTGTTTGGGACCCTCTATTGTGATCCCTGTCAGAGCAGTCGGTGGTGGTAGCCGGGCACCATCTAGTTGTACTGGACTCAGTCTGGTGGAGGCCATGGTAGATGTTGTCCATTAGTCCTTTGGACTAATCTTTCCCTTGTGTCTTTAGTTTCTTCATTCTCCCTTGCTCCTGAAGGGGTGAGACCAGTGGAGTATCTTAGATGGCTGCTCACAGGCTTTTAAGACCCCAGACGCTACTCACCAAAGTGGAATGTAGAACATTTTCTTTATAAACTATGTTATGCCAATTGAGCTAGATGTTCCCTGAGACCATGGTCCCCACGGCCCTTGGCCCAGCGGTTCGGTCCCTCAGGGAGTTTGGATGTGTCTGTGGAGCTTCCATGACCTTGCCTTGTACAAGTTATGCTGGCTTCCCCAATATTGTGTACTGTCTCACCCTTCACCAAAATTACCACTTACCTACTGTCTAGTGTTTTTCCATCCCTACCCCTCCCCTCCCTCGTAACCATCAAAAATTGTTTCTTTTTGTGTGTAAACCTTTTCATGAGTTTTTATGATGGTGGTCTCATACAATATTTGTCCTTTTGTGATTGACTTATCTCACTCAACATAATGCCCTCCAGGTTCATTCATGTTATGAGGTGGTTAACAGATTTCATCATTGTTCTTTATCGTTGCATAATAATCCATTGTGTGTATGTACTATAGTTTGTTTATTGAGTCCTCCGTTGATGGGCACCTAGGTTGTTTCCATCTTTTTGCTATTGTGAACAATGCTGGAATGAACATGGGTGTGCATATGTCTATTCATGTGACGACTCTTATTTCTCTAGGATATATTCCTAGGAGTGGGATTGCTGGATCATATGGTATTTCTATTTCTAGCTTTCTAAGGAAGCGCCATATCATTTTCCAAAATGGTTGTATCATTTTGCATTCCCACCAGCAGTGCATAAGAGTTCCGATCTCCCCACGGCCTCTCCAACATTTGTTATTTCCTGTTTTTTTTTTGTTTTGTGCCAGTAATGCGGGGTGAGATGGTATCTCATTGTGGTTTTGGTTTACATTTCTCTAATAGCTGGTGATCACGAACACTTCCTCATGTATCTGTTGGCTATGTTCCTTGTTTTATTATTTTTCTTTTGAGGAGGTGGATCAAGGTTGAATTATTTGTACCTCATATGAGTTACAAAAATTATCCAAAATAATGACTCTTTAATTTGGTATGTAAAACATGTGCTGTTTATCGTATAGTACAGTCTTTTGGATTATTTGTTTACTCATTTTATTGTTTATCTTGAACGATTTCATTTATTGAGTGAATGATTATTTTCCTTATTTGGTTATTTCAGAGTCACTTTGAATTTATATTTCCCACGTTTCAAAAAGGTGTGTGTGTATAGGTGTGTGGGTGTTTGGTCTATGTTTATCTTTATTATAAATGCGCTATCGGTTGTAGGTTGTTCTTGGGATTCTTTCTTCCTTTGATTACCTCTTTTTCTCAGATATCTCCTGCATTGACTTTCGGAGTATTTTATAACTCCTACTCACTTATGTTGAGTTTTGGTGATAAAGAAGAGTATTTGACACATTTACATTTTGAAAGGGATGAAACGATATCCATGTATCTCCTACACAGGTTATGAAACACAGTATGTTGCTCGAATTTAGTTTTTGTCTCAGTTCTGTTATAAAGGAGTAGTTAGCAAAGAAAAAAAGCATTTTAGACAAGTCTGATGGAGTAGAGATTTCGTATTGCAATGGAGAGCAAAACAGAGGTTATCATTAAACTGCAAATCAGGGTTATTTCTTGCTTTTAGTACCACTGACTTGGTTATGATAAAATTGTTCATTAGCAATTTTTACCTTATAAAGGTGTAAAGGATTTGTAAAGGAATTATATGCAAACTATATATAGGTTTGTTGAATTCTTTTGATTACTACCTGGATATAATTGATGATTTGGCTCTTTTTCATTTTTAACTGTTTTTCTCCTTCAGGCCAAGAGACAACAGCGAAAATTGAACTTCTTAATCACCCAGACGGAGTTGTATGCCCATTTCATGAGTCGCAAACGAGACATGGGTCATGATGGGATCCAGGAAGAAATCCTAAGAAAACTGGAAGACAGTTCTACTCAGAGACAAATTGACATTGGTGGAGGTGTGGTAGTTAACATCACACAAGAGGATTATGGTGAGTCATGAACCAGGAGTTAAAGGAAGTTAAGATTGTACACATGATTAACTCCTAATCTTTCATCTCTGTTGATGGGCACTATTGATCAGAAAAGGGGGATTTATTGTATTGGAGTAGGGAAAGTGTGTGTATATAACACAAGCATATGAAATCGGTTTTGTTAGACAACTTGAAAAGGAAAGGATATGGTTATGATCTTGCCAGTTAGGGGATTTTTTTTTTTTTTTATGTTTTGCTTTGCTGGTAGAAATAGAAAGTATTGAATTAGAAGAATTAAGCGAACATGTGTCAGCAGAGAAAATCATCTCTCGCATAAAAACGTGTGGTAATGCAAGCATAAGAAAAACTATTCAGTTTGGACATTTTTGTGACCACAAGGGAAGAGAAGAACTAGGGTGAAGTTTGAGAGGAGTTTAACAGAGAATAGTGATCAAGATCATGTTGAGTTAGGAATACAAGGGGAAGGGAGTGTTTCACCGTATCCTGAGGGTTACACATGTCTGTATATCTTCAGCTGGATAGTTTCTCCCAGCATCAGTGTATCAAAACTTGGACTCCTCATTGTCTCGTTTGTGTTGGGTGTTGGCTTTGCTTCGTGGGAAAAACCCAGGACTGGGAAAGTGTAGAGCGAAGTCCCCTTGTGGTTTTTGTGAGCTGCCTTTGGCTCCTAGAGATGGTGGCAGTCCTCTGCCTCCATTACACTTCCTGCTCCTCACCTCACTCAGTAAAAGAATTTGAGCCTCTATCCCCACCCCCAGCCCCAGTGAACCTAAAAATAAGGAGACTAGAGGAGTCAAGATCCTCATATGCTGGTATGAATTACTTGTTTGAAGGCGATCATCTGACAAAACGTGATAATGTACAAGTTTTCCTTTTCAGATAGTAACCATTTCAAGGCCCAGGCGCTGAAGAATGCTGAAAACGCTTACCATATCCACCAAGCTCGGGTGAGTGTTACAGACAGAGAGACTGATTGGCTCTGAACATACCCCACAGCCTTTTACTTAGGTGGCCTTTCTTTTGTCTCAGTCACATTTCAATTAAAAGCATTGACCAACGTGTGTACGTGTATGTGAGTGTGTATAGGGTGGGGGCTTGTCTAAGCTTTAGGAGTGTGCTGAATTGAGGCTAGGTCAGTTTGCCTAATTCTTTTGTCCTCTTGAGTCATGATGGGTAATATAGTATGAAATTCATCATAGTTGTTTAGTGAAAAACAGCATACTCTTGCTTTTTAAGAGAGTCATATCATGTCTTGAGAAAACTGCTAAGTTACTTACTGCTTTCTCTCACTTTGGCAATAGCTTGCTCTCCGAGTCATGATACAGAGATGTTTAATGAAATCGAAAATAACTTTGCAGTTGGATTGAATGAGTAGAGAAAACACAGTTTACTATACTGCATAGAAGCCTTTATATACCTTTGACAGAGTCCAGAACAAGGATAGACACAAATGTGGCCTTCGCCCACAATTCCAACCAAGCAATCTTTAACGAATTCCTTGATGAAGCAGTTAATGTAGTAATATGGATTAGTGTATATCCATCAAAAAAATATATTCTAATATAATTACTATATTAGTTAAATTATATTAGAATTGTGTTTTAATATAATGTTTTATATATATTACGTTACATTATCAGATTATATCAGACATTTTGTTCCAGTTATTTTTCTTAGCACAGGATACAAATATTGTCATTGGAGATTTTGTTTGCATTTAATATGTTTTTCTCTTACATTTTTGTTCTAATTTTTTAAAATTTCCAGACGCGATCATTTGATGAAGATGCAAAAGAAAGCCGAGCAGCTGCACTACGGGCAGCAAACAAGTCTGGCAGTGGGTTTGGGGAGAGTTACAGCCTGGCAAACCCATCGATCCGGGCCGGCGAGGATATTCCACAGCCCACGATTTTTAATGGCAAATTGAAGGGTTATCAGCTGAAAGGCATGAATTGGTTGGCCAATCTCTATGAACAGGTGAATGTCTGGTCATACCCACTCTCTTTCGATTGTTAACTGTTTTCCTAAGGTCATCAGCTCAGAGGAGTTATCAAATGAGCATAAGATAGTGTTTTAATTTCAGCCCCTTTAAAAGCCTTATTCTTTGATAAGAGGCAGAAGGATGCCTACGTTTATAACCTGGAGAATATTTCTATCATGTATATAGTTTCTCTTAGGTGGTCCTGGTAAACCTGATTGTTTGCTTTTGTGCCTGGGTTAGATTAGCAGAAGAACTGCCCTTGGCCTGCTCCTGCCATATATTATGGTTCACAGTTGTAGCTATAGAGTTGGCAGAAGGAATCATTCTGGCAGTGGATAATAGTGCTGAGGCTGGGTATCTCTAGTCAGTTCTGTTTGAACAAACCTGTCATCTGGGTCAGTTCTCTTGGCAGTGGGGTGTACACTGTGTGATGGAATGCAGAAGGTGTTGACATATTTGTTTTTTTTCCAGGGTATTAATGGCATTCTTGCTGATGAAATGGGCCTTGGTAAAACAGTACAGAGCATTGCCCTCCTGGCCCATCTGGCTGAGGTGGGTAGATGCAGTTTCTCCATTTTTCTCTCTCTAGATCCTAAGGTTATTTTCTAGTAATATTTGTATACTTACCATTCAGCCATTCAGCAAGTGATTTATTGAGAGTCATTCACTTACAAAGCACTAAGCTAGGCTCTATAGCATTCGAAGACAGTAGGATTGATCCTTGCCCTCAAGGCCTTTACAAGGGGACAGTATGGTGCGAGACTTTGGTTTTCACCAGGGCCAGGACAGTTTTTGAGCATGTGTGGCTTGAGCCCCCTTCCCTCATTGAGAACCCCCAGTGTAGTGGCCGGGGCACTGTAGTAAGGTCAGAAGAGCTGGCTCCGCCCCTCAATTTTACCTTTACTAGCAGTGTGGACTTGGGCAGGTCAGGTAACCTCTTTTGAACTGACTTCTCGTTAACTATCTGAGGTTTAGTTTCCTCTTCTGTAAAGTTGGAGTGGTATCTACCTTGTAGGAACTTAGTGAGAATTAAATGAGAAATTATGTGTAAAAGCACTTTGAAAAAAAAGCAAAAACTCTATGCCAGTTAAATAGTAAAATTGTTATGATAATCTAGTATAGGGGAAAATAACACATATAAATCAGTGTGTCATAAGTGCTTTGAGAATTATCTAAATTAGGACCTGAAAGAGGTCAGAGGAGGGAGAAATTGCTGGGTATTTTTTCTCGGGATGTATGCGAGCAGCTTTATTGCCTGTGTTGTTATTAACATAGAATATTGTTGGATGTGAAAATTTCCTTTGCTATAAGGTGATACCTATTCTTAAACTGCTTTAGTCATTAATTAGAATTTTGAATTAAATATTTTGAGTTTTCCTGCAGTTGCCTGACCTGTTTTTTTCTGTTGCAGAGAGAGAACATTTGGGGACCTTTCTTAATAATTTCACCCGCTTCTACACTTAACAATTGGCACCAAGAGTTTACTAGATTTGTTCCTAAATTTAAGGTAAAAATAAACCCAACAAAAAGTTCTGTTGCTCTTTAAAGTAAATTTCCTGATTCTTCTTTTGCTGCCCCACTGATGTATTTAATTGCTTATAATAGTTTTAAATTTCTTATGCTGTTTCCAAAATACTTTGCATACATTTCTTATAAAAGTTACTGATAGGAGCAAGAAGGGAGCATAGTGTATCTATATTTCATAAGTGGGAAAGCCACGGTGAGTGCCTTGCTGCATTAGGCCGTATGAATTGATGCTCCTGGTCTGTCATAATGGAAAGTATCTATCTTGATTTAACGTAGATTTCGGCAAATCGCATAATCAGGTCAAATGTCCTCTAAATTTATGGCATTGTTCCTTCTGCCCCCCAAATATATTCATAAATGACCCATTTTCTTGATTCTCCGAAGCCAGATCTTTAGTTTCAGTGCAGGTTACAAGGTTTAAGGTAGGTGACGTGAAGTTGGTTTAACTAGTTCAGAGGGAGGAGTTAATCAGCAGGTAAATACATTGCATCACGTTCAGTAAGACACAAACAAGATCTGAACAGGAGTTGATTATGGAAGGTTATAGAGATACAAAAGAATGAGTGGGATTTATTAAATTGTTATGCAAGTAAAAAGGGAAAATGAGTTAAATATATGTTATAGTGATAATGAAGTTCCACGGTGTGGATTTTATGGGGGTTATATATCAGGGGATGTCGCCATAATCTCTGTGATTTGGGGTCTCCGTAACAGTCATAGGCTCCATGTAGTGGGTGGGAGGCAGGTCTTCTCCTGGCTTTGTGAGGAATAGGAGTATCTGGGATATTCCACTTTGGGGCAGCTTTATGACTCTGGTTCCATCTTTGTGGCTGACCTGCGAATTTAGAAACTGTTCGCAAGGCACATTATGTCTGTAGCTTAACTTGACTGACTCCTTTTCGCCTTCGGAGAAGGTGAGATCATTCTGAGGCGATTCGCTCAATATAGTCTCTTCAGTTGTTGGCCGTATGGAATGTGGAGATCACCATCTTTTTTCTTCTTTTTTTGGTGTTTGTGTGCGTATCTTCTTTTTCTCCCATTCGTGTAATGTTCAGTACATGTGGAATAATCACCAAGTTGAAAATACAGTCTTAAAAATTTCCACCAAACCGCTTAAGTTTTCGGTAGTTCCTCTGCTGGCCAGTAGAGGGCACTGTGGTATTGCGTGTAGTGTTGGCACCACTCCTTTGACCTTGTATCCGAGCCTGAAATTGAGCCTTCATTTACATGTTGAACCTTCCTTTCGGTACTCAAGTTTAAAAACACCCACAGCCATGGAGTCGTTCTGACTCATAGGGACCCCATCGGGTTTCCAAGGCTGTCAATCTCCATGGAAGCAGATGGCCACATCTTTCTCCCGTGGAGTTCCTGGTGGCTCTAGTCTAGGGGTCAGTAAACTGTGACCCATGGGCCAGTTTTAGCAGCCACTGTTTTTTTTACAGTCTCTGAACTAAGAATGGTTTTTACATTTTTAAATGGCTGATAAAGAAATCAGAAGAAGAATATTTCATGACACATGTTATATGAAATTCAAATTCATATATATTGGAACACAGCCACACTCTTTTTTAATGTTTTATTTATGGCTTCATTTGCACTACAACTACAGAGTTGAGTAGTTGTAACAGAGACCATATGGCCTGCAAAGCTTAAAAGATTTCCTGTCTGGCCATTTACAGAAAGTTTGCTGACCCCTGCTCATGGATCCATTGATATTGCCGTTATTCCTTTAAACCAGAACCAAACCTGTTAAACCATGAAGTCAGTTCTGACTATAGTGACCTTCCTGTGTTACAGGTAGAACTGCTCCGTAGGGTTTTCTTGGCTGTAATCTTTATAGAAGCAGATCGTCAGGCCTGTCTTCTGCAGTGCTACTGGCTGGGTTCAAACAGCCAGTCTTTCTAGGTTAGCAGCTGATTGCTTATTGCTTGCACAACCCAGGCACCTATTATTCCTTTAGATTGTCAAAAATGTGTTCACTTTCCTGTGGAACACAGATGTAGACTCTACACAGGTTTATAGTTCACTAACATTCATAAGATACTTAGATCTTTGATGATAACAGCATGAAAGTTTTATTTGGCAAGTACTCTGAGTAACACTCTGTGTATGATCAGTGCCTCTGACTTCTTTTTTCACATGAAATGTGATTTACTTTTTTTTTTTATAGTTAATGTGCCATTTTTTATTCCTGAAACTGATTATTCTGCCCTCTTATTTCTGTTGGTCTTGCCCAGGGATTTATCAGTTTTATTGGTCTTTTCAAAGAATGAACTTTGGCTTTCTTAATTATTTATTACATGTTTCCTATTTTATTTATTTCTGCTCTATCTGTATTATTCCTTCCCACTTTCCTTGTAGACTTTTTTCCCTTTCGGATGTCTTGCGATGGAGCTGAGATTGTTGATTGACCACCTTCTCTAATACATGCATTTAAGGGTGTAAATTACCCTCTGAGCGCGACTTTGGCCATTCAGAGGTTTCATGTGTCACATTTTCATTGTCTTTCAGTTCGAAGTAATTTCTATCTTTCATTGCAAGTTCTTCTTTGATCCACAGGTTATTTAGAAGTATATTTCTTAATTTCCAAATAAAAGGAGAACTTTCTAGGTATCTTTTTGTTATTATTTTATAGTTTAAATCTGCTCTGACAAAGGAACATACCTGTTATTTTAATCCTTTGAAATTTATTGAGCCTTGTTTTTATGGCCCAGCATATGACCAGTTCTTGTAAATGTCTTGCGAGTGTTTGAAAAGAATGTGTATTCTGCAGTTGTTGAGTGAAGTAGTCTATATATGGTGGTTAGGTCAAGTTTGCTGATTGGTTATTCAGCTCTCTTCTGTATCTTTACTGATTTATTTTTGTCTGCCTTTCCTTTCACTGTCTGTGTTAAAGTCTTTCATGATTATGAATTTGTTCATTTCTCTTTCCTCCTGTCCGTTTAGTTTCTATGTGTATGTGTATATTATATATGTGTGTGTGTACACACACACACATACATATACAGGAGCTCGCTGATTAAGAGCTTGGCTGCCAGCCAACAGGTTGGCAGTTCGAATCTACCAGCTGCTCCTTGGAAACTCTATGGGGCAGTTCTACTCTGTCCTGTAAGGTCACTATGAGTTGGAATACACTCAATGGCAATGAGGTTTTTGTTTTTGCGGTATATATATATAGAAAGAGAGAGGCTATTAGATGTATACGAATTTGGAATTATTTTATCTTCTGGTGAGTTGAACCTTTTAGTAATATGAAATTGCCCTCTGTAAGACTTTACCTTAAAATTCGTATTCTCTGCTGTTAAATACATACACTCGCTTTCTTTTGGTTAGTTTTTACATGATGTCTTTCCCTTCCTTTTACTTTCAACCTTTCTCTGTTCTTACTTTTAAGGTGTATTTCTTGCCTTTTATTTGGAGTATTTGTTCTTTCTTTTAATGTAATTATTGACGTGTTCGTTTAAAATCTGCTGACTTGCTGTTTGCTTTTACTTGTTTCACCTGTTCAGTTTTTCCTTGTATTCTTTTGGATTGATTATATTTTATTATTTTACTCCCTCTTAGCTTTAGTTATATATTCTTTGGTAAATACCCTGTAGATTACAATGTACATCGTGGACTTTTTAAAAGCAATATAAATTAATACTGTTACTACTTTCCAGACAATACAAGGACTTTAGTACATTTTAACTGCATTCCCCCTCCTATAGACTGCATGCTGTTGTTTTTGTGTATTTTTTAATGTTTTTAACCCCATGAGACATGATTATTATTAGCATTTATTTAGGTTTGTTTATATTACTCACATGTTACCATTTTCATTGATCTTCATTCCTCCCTACGTGTCTGAGGTTCCATCTGGGAATTGTTTCCGTTTTGCTCAGAGAACAGCTGTTTGTATTTCTGTTAGCATGAGTGTGCTGGTGATGGTTTTTCTAGGTTTGTGTTAGAAGACGTCCGTCTCAGCTTCATTTCAGAAGGATGTTTTTGGTGGATATAGAGTTCTAGGGTGGCAGTTTCTTCAGCACCTTGAAGATAACATTCTATTGGCTTTTTATGTCATTCTTATTGTTCCCTCCTTTGGGTGGAATATCAGTGAACTACCCCAGAGTTTACTGGCTTAAAATAGTATTTATTATCTTAGTTTCTGAGGGTTAGGGGTTTAGGAAAAGCTTAGCTGCCTGGTTCTGATCCCGAGTCTTCTCCTGAGGTCGCAGTCAGGATGTCAGCAAGGGCTGCAGGCAGCTGCAGACTTGACTGGGGTTGGAGGATCTGCTTCCAGGATGACTCAGTCACATGTGTGTTGGCAGGAGGCCTTGGCTCCTTGTCACATGGTCCTCTCTGCAGGAGAGGTCCTCGTGACGTGGCAGGTGGTGCCTTTTATGACCTTGTCTCTGAAGTCACATTGCTTCCACTTTACCAGAGTCTCTCCTCCTTGAAGTACAGTTTTTGTCCTGTGGGCCCTGTGTCTCTAAAAAACTCTGCTCAGTTTCTTAGACTCTCAACTAGAACTTGTGAAATGGACAGTCATCCTCAGGGAAAAAGTGTTCTAAATGCTACACTTACCTCACTTGGCTTCCTTTCTTTTCTGGAACTTGTTTTCATAATGCTTCATTGTCTGAGTAGATCTCTGATGCCTTCAAACAGGTGTCTGTGTGTGTGCATGTGTTTTTACATGGACAGCAGGAGGATTGGTTAGACCACCCTTGACAGGAGAGGAACTCCTATAGTTATTCTATTTGCTTTTTAAAAATGATTCTGAATAATATATTTGTGGTGATACTTTTAAGAGTATTAGTGGAAAATAATCTGCGTGTTGGCTTTTTCCCAGGTGCTTCCATATTGGGGAAATCCTCACGATAGAAAAGTCATCAGGAGGTTCTGGAGCCAGGTAACTTCGCTCACAGGCATTTACACACCTGTGGTTAGTGTTTCTCCACGTCCTTGAAACAAGCTCTAACCTGCAAGTTATCTGTACATATGTTTCTGGACATTGAGCACGGGTACCTGTTTTTTCCTTCTGATACCATGCTTTTCATTTTACTGGCAATCAACTGAACTTGAAGTCCAGTATGAAGTTTCTTTAATAATAAGCTGAGGACTAGTTTTTAGCATAGTCTGTGATTAAGATGACTACTTAAGCATAGTTACGGTTCTGTTCATTGCACAGCTCCCTGCCATGTGGGAGAAACACACTGTTAGAGCTGTCTTAAACTTGGCCCTAGAAAATATAGCCCATAACCTGTTACCTTATTGTGAATTGTCAGGTGTCTTTTTCTCACCTCTCCCTTTTATATTTACAGAAGACCCTCTACACTCAGGATGCCCCCTTCCACGTGGTTATCACCAGCTACCAGCTGGTAGTGCAGGATGTAAAGTATTTCCAGCGGGTCAAGTGGCAGTACATGGTCCTGGATGAGGCCCAGGCACTCAAGAGCAGTTCCAGGTAACTTGAGGCAGGGTAGTAGCAGTAACCAAACTCCATAGTCTGGGGCCAGAAAATGACATCATTCACGTGCACACAGTGCACGCGTGTGTGTATGAAGATCGGGAAGGTTTCAGAATATGGCTTTACGTAATCTCCACATAAGCCATGTGCCTGAACAGAAGGCAAAAATTCCCTTTTGCATTTTTCTTGGGACACAAATGTTAATGCTTAGAATACAAGGATTTTTCTTGACTTCTACCTCCTTACTCAATAATTATAACGTTTTGATACATCTTTTTTCTTCTAAGAAAATTTCTGTACCGGAAGAGGTCTCTGCCCTGTCTTTAAGAGATTATTTCTTAGGTAGGAGATCTGAGTAGGAAGTAGAAAGTTAGATGGTGTGGATTGGAGAGTCTTCTGTTTTATGTGGGTTTTCCCCCTTCCCTGGATGGTTGTTAGACCTCCAAGAATCCTGTAATTAGAGGTGATATTTTTTAATGAAGTATGTTTAAAATATTCTAATATCTTTAAGGTCTGACTGAATAGTAAGTCAGGGCTTGGCTGTAAAAAAAAAAAAAAAAAAATCCTCAGCTTTGATTTATTTATGTTAACTCTTGGCTGCTCATGGTGGTTTTTAGAGGTTGATGTTCATTGGCAGGATGGTATTTTCCATGGAGCTTCCTGTCCTCTGAAAGGCATTGCTCCATATTATTCTCTTTTGAAGGAGGACATGTCTGGCCAGGAGCAGTAAAGACTCACTTCATATTCTCATACCCTTCCCCCTTTTTCCACTGCTCCCTCCAAAGCTTTAAGTGTGGAAGCACACAGATAATAATTTTAAAGCTTTCTACTACAGACAACTAGCTTCTGCTTAAATGGCTTATGTTAACCAAACTGACCAAAGATAATAGAGGACTCTGTCAAGCCAGAAAGGACTCCACTCTGTTGGAGGGATTGTGTTTTCCTAAACCCTAATACCATATTTTCAGTAGTTGTTGTTATTTGTTGCGTCATGTCAGTTCTGAGTCATGGCTACGCCATGTTTTCAGTATAGAGGAGTCAGATCTGCCTAAATCTCCTGTCTTCCGCCTTGTTGAATAATATCTTTCAGTTGTGTACATGGTGAAATACTTGTTTCTGAGTCATTGTTTTCTTTTTTCAGAAAGCATTTTTAGAAGTATTGGTTCTCTGTAGGTAAATGAAAGATTTACTGCTAACTTAGAATTTGTAACTCATTTTATTGGACAGTGTTCGTTGGAAGATCCTCTTGCAGTTCCAGTGTCGGAATCGGCTTCTGCTAACTGGGACGCCCATTCAGAACACCATGGCGGAGGTAGGCACTAGTCAGGGCCTTAGGATTACGTCTGTATTAAACAGAGGGGTTCTGTGGCAAAGATTGGAGTGCTCCTCCTCTGTACAAATCATAGTCCCCACATAAAAGGAAGGAGGAATGTGAGCATAGTTTGCCTAGGTGCTCTTTTAGCCGTCAGTCCCGTTCTCTTATTCCCTGGCATAATGGCCATGAATTATTTTATTCTTCTGTATTTATGTAATAAATGGTGACCACATCAAGAAAGACTGCCCATCAGTGCGGAGATGTTTCTGTACTAGAGTTGAAAGGTAGTGTTCCTTAATCCTGAGAGTAGTTTTCCTTTTTGAAAAGATAATTGATCATCTCGAACAGGAGTTAACAGACCTTTTCTGTAAAGGGCCAAATAGTAAATAATGAGGCTTTGCCGCCCACCTAGTAGCTGTTGCAAGTGCTTGGTTTTGCCATTGTAATGTGAAAGCACCCATAGCTGATACAGTCCCTTTCTGTTTCATACACGTGGACACAGAGAAATACTGCACTTTCTCTCCACACCCTCCTGTATTCTCGTACGCTCCCTTCTTGGGGCCACACAGCCGTTTCACTGTTGCTTTGTTTCCAGCTCTGGGCTCTGTTACATTTCATTATGCCAACATTGTTCGATTCACATGAGGAATTTAATGAATGGTTTTCCAAGGACATTGAGAGCCACGCCGAAAACAAATCTGCCATTGACGAGAGTGAGTACTGTTACAATCCTTCTTACTTTTCTCCTACCTATCAGTGTAGGCAACTAAATAATTGTGTATTTCCTTCTACGTGAGGACTCTTTTCCCCTGTATACATAGAAGAGGAGCCCTGGTGGTGCAGTGATTAAAGTGTTCGGCAGCTAACCAAAAGGTCAGCGGTTCAAACCCACCAGCCTCTCTGTGGGAGAAAGAGGTGGCAGTTTGTCAGCTTCAGTGAAGATTACAGCCTTGGAAACCTTGTGGGGTAGTTCTGCTCTGTCCTGAAGGGTCGTTATGAGTCAGAACTGACTTGACGGCCACGAGTTTGGGTTTTTGTTTTTTTTTGTGTGTGTGTACGTAAAAGGGTCGGGAAACCCTGGTGGCGTAGTGGTTAAGAGCTACTTCTGCTAACCAAAAGGTCGGCAGTTCGAATCCACCAGGCGCTCCTTGGAAACTCTGGGGAAGTTCTACTCTGTTCTGTAGGGTCACTATGAATCGGAATCAACTTGGCAACGGGTTTGAGAAGGGTTGGGGGAAAACGTTTTTTTCCTCTTATGAAATGATTGTTACGTGCTCTGTATATATTGTAAACGAGTCAAGAAAAGATTAATGTGGATGATGCTGGTCCTGTCTTAACTATTTATCAAGGCAGAACAGGCAGAGTTCAAGAGTGCTACATTTTGGCCTGCGAGTTCCCATTTTCCAAATAGATCTTGAAATTCATATCAAAATCATGTTTTTATAGAATGGCTTTTCTCTTGTATTAAAAACAGAAAATATTAGAAGGTTCATTTTGTTATTTTCCATATATATTAGGATTTGTTTCTGTTGTAAGCATTTTTTAACCTTGTTTATCAATACTTTTAAACTTGTTGAATAATATCTGACTGATTTTAAGAGAATTCTGAGGTGCTTATTACATAGCCATAAAGTGACATCTACTTATTGTTAGAAAAATCCTTAAGTTTTTTCTTATACTATACATTGTTAATTTGTTGACACCCTTTGAAAGATGATTTTTTTGGGTAATAACTTGGAGTCCCAGATACCTTGCATTAGACCTGTATGAGAATCTCATTATTGATAGAATGTACCTGAAACACTGTAAAAGTGAATTCTAATGAAAATATAGTGGTCCTTGTTGGTTCACACTGAATACATGAGAGTCAAATGCATTTGCCTAACTTACTGTGCAGTAAGTTCTGTAGAAAATTTACATTCCTTGGATTCCTCCTACTTGGGAAAAAGATTACGTTCTAATCTCTCAGAGAGTTGTAGAGTCAGAAGGTGTTCTGAGGGCTTCGTGAGGCGTGGTATTTGTGTTTGGTTGTTTATGTTAAATTAATGCCTCCTGGCATTTCAGATCAGCTCTCCCGCCTGCATATGATCCTGAAGCCGTTTATGCTAAGGAGAATCAAGAAAGATGTGGAAAATGAGCTGTCTGACAAGGTAAGGAGAGAAGACCTTGTGAGGGTGAGCGTGAATAGACAGTGATTCAGGACTCAGGAGGGGAGAGGGGAGAGATTCCCTGAATGTCTGTTTAGTTGAGTTTGAGAGAAGACCTTTAAAACTTGAGTGCATCAGAGTACTTACAATGAGTCAGTCAAGTAGCATTTTTTCTTCTTGTTGTTTTAAACTTTTTTTATGGTGAATTTTAAACATTACAAAAGTAGAGAGACTGCTGTAATGAACTCCCTCGTACCCATCATCTCGTGGCTTCAATAGTGATCAACTCATGACCATCCCCACCCCCGATTATTCTGAAGGAAATCCCAGATGTCATGTCACTTGTAAATATTTTCACTTGTTATCTCTAAATATTTCGTCTTTCTTTTTTTTTAAGTATATAACCACAAACCATTAACGCCCCTACTAAAAAAGATACTAATGACAGTACATTATCACATGTCTGCTCATTACTCAGAGATCCCTTTGTGTGTGTATCTTTCTTTTTTAAAGTTACAAGTTTGTTGAAATCAGGATCCAGGCAAGGCCCCCATGTAGCGTGTGGGTGGTGTGTCTCGTAAGTGTTCTTTAATCCTTCCCTTGTTTCTCCCTTGCAGTTCTCTGTTGCATCGTTGTCATGGTGTCTAACATATCCCCGTCTCCTGTATTTCTGCCGAAAGTTAGATTTAGAAGTTTAATGTGCTTCAGGTTGTAACGTTTTTTCTCTTTATTTAATACAAAGCCAGTAATTTTGGTTTCTAAATATCTTTTTTGGAATCCTTCCCAGACTGCTGTAATTTTCCGTCACCTGTGATTCCTTCCCCCATTTTTCTTTCTTCTTTTTCTTGAGTTCCCAGTTCTTCGGGGGTTTCCCCCCATCTTTCACAGATTCCGCCTGTTCTCACAGTTCTACTGTCTGCCTGTAGGATGTCTTGCCAGATTCTTGATAGTTTCAGGTGATTCTTCTCTGTCCAGGAAGCTGAGTCACCTTGAAGTTGATGACTCTGTTTGGAAGATTGTAATGAGGTTATACATCTACTTCAGAGAGAGGAGCAGAAGTGTACCTTTGTTTTGTGCTTAAACAGAATTTTTTTTTTTTTAAGTCTTGATGACTATTTCATGAAACTGGCTAATGTTTTAACTAGCGGTATGACACAGATGTACCTGATAGAAGGAAAACACTTTATTAAAAAGTGAATCCTTGAGGCCTTTGTATTAGAAAATGTTTTGAAAAAATAATAGCATATCATAATTTCTGTTATCTAGTGATAAATAGATGATCAGAAGATGTAGCATGGTGCAGAGTATAAATTTCTTAAATATCATTTAATGTTTCTGATCGTTTATCTGTCAAAAATATGCATTTATTGAACACTTCTTGCCTGCCAAGCACTGGTACATAAACATACAGCCTTTAGGCTTCAGTCAAGCTTCCAAGGCAGGTGAATACATAAATAACTATAACATTGTGTGATAGAGGATACAAGGATTGTCTATATGAACTATAATGGGAATAGAGATAAGGGAGTAATTCTGCCAAGGAAGATTAGAGAAGGCATCAAAGCAGAAATGACATGTGAACTAGGTCTTAGATAATGACTTGGCATTTAGTACGGTAACATGGTGGAAAGGAGGTGCCAGGCAACAAGACCAGCATGAACAAAGGTAGAGTAGAGTTCAAGTCTGTAGCACGTTTAGCAAACACCATTCAGACCATTTTGGCTAAGCTGTTTAGGAAGGCATGGTGGTAATGAGATGGGCCAATAAGGGTAGGTTAGATTATGGAAGATCTTCTATACTTAAGTGAGAAGTTTCAGTGTTTTTACTAAAGACAGTAGTGTCCATTGAAGATATTTCAGCGGTTGAATTACTTCATAAGATCTGTGTGGAAAGTATATTAGAACCAGGAGAGATTGGAGGCAGGTAGACCCAGAAATAATAGCAATCTAGACTAGATGTGATGGGGGCTTGCATTAGGGCTGTGTAAATGATCAGAAAGAGTTGTCATTGTTAGGTGCCATAGATTCGGTTCCGACTCAGCCGTATGTACAACAGAACGAAACACTGCCCAGTCCACCATCCTCACAGTCGTTGCTGTGTTTGAGTCCATTGCTGACAGCCACTGTGTCAGTCCATCTTGTTGAGGGTCTTCCTCTTTTTTGCTGACCCTCTACCTTACCAAGCATGGTGTCCTTCTCCAGGGACTAGTCCCTCCTGATAACATGTCCAGAGTACAAAAAACGAAGTCTCGTCATCTTCTCTTCCAAGGAGGACTCCGGCTGTACTTCTTCCAAGTCAGACTTGTTCCTTGTTCTTGGCAATCCATGGTATATTCAGTATTCTTCACCAACACCATAATTCAAAGGCGTCAGTTCTTCTTTGCTCTTCCTTATTCATTGTCCAGCTTTTGCACGCGTAGGAGGCAATTAAAAATACCATGGCTTGAGTCAGGCATGCTTTAGTCCTCAGAGTGACATCTTTGCTTTTGAACACTTTAAAGAGGGTAGTTAGAGGTAAATTTCCAGTTGAGTTGAGCGATTTAGGAAATGATAGAACATGAGGTGCGAGGGAGAGAGAAAAATAAGAGCTGACTGAATTTTCTCTTTGGGCAGCTGAGTGAATGGTAATGCCATTAACCAATTTAATAAATTGTAGAGAAGTTTTTTTTCTTCTGTGTCACATATGCAGTTGCTATAAACCCTCTTGAGTGGCACTGTTATGGTAGGTAGTTGAAAGTATGGGGCTGCGATGTTCGGAAATATGTTTTTGTAAGTCACTGTGGTGGTTGGTGCTATAGGAAATGAAAGAGATTGCCCAGGAAGAACATGTAAAGTGACAGGGGAAGAGGGTCAAGGAAAGAACATCTTCTGTATGATTATCCATTCACAGGTTTATAGAGAAATCGAGTTCACATATGTGTATTTTCTCGGTAATCTGGTTTACATGTGTTTTCAACTTTCTTACAAACTATGTTTCCAAATATAATTGTTCTTACTGATTTTCAGATTGAGATTCTAATGTACTGCCAACTGACCAGCCGACAAAAGCTGCTCTATCAGGCACTGAAGAACAAAATCTCCATTGAGGATTTACTGCAGTCTTCTATGGGCTCTGCCCAGCAAGCACAGAACACCACCAGCAGCCTCATGAACCTGGTCATGCAGTTCAGGAAGGTGAGAGCTTAGTTAGCTGACTGTATTAGCCCACTTCAAAAGAAAGGCTCTATCCTGAATGTCAAATAAATGAAGGATGTCAGTGCTCCGTTGTTGTTATGATGGTAGGAAGAACTAATAAAAGCAGTATTGTTAACAAGAGATGAAAATGGGAAAGCATACATTCACAAAGGTAAACATTCAGGATTTGAGATCCCCCATCATTTCACAGAGTGCTGTCTGCACTGGGGAATGTTGTCTTACCATTTCTCTTTGCCTTAGGTATGTAATCACCCAGAGTTATTTGAACGGCAAGAAACATGGTCTCCATTTCATATTTCCTTAAAGCCATACCACATTTCAAAGTTTATGTACCGTCATGGACAGATCAGGGTCTTCAACCATTCACGAGACAGGTGAGTAAATCTGTTTATCTGTTTTTAATTAATTTAATGTCTGTTAACCATAAGAAGAAGCCCTGGCGGTGCAGAGGTTAAGAGCTGTGGCTGCAAACCAAAAGGTCGGCAGTTCGAATCCACCAGCCGCTCCGTGGAAACCCTATGGGGCAGCTCTGCTCTGTCCTGTAGGGTCACTATGGGTTTGGTTATTCATTTTTTGAAACCATATTAATGTTTTTGTAATTTGGGTTTTTGTGTCTTAGTACATAAATTTAGTGAAAGGTTTTCTGAGTTTCCCAATGAGGTATTTAAGCCAAGGGTGGATAACTGTTGTTGTTGAGGGATCTTGTGGTGGGAATTTGAGCACTGTTAGGGGTTTAATTTGATGGCCTTAAAGGCTCTGTCCACTTTCAGTTATCATCTTCTTTTCTTAGCTTTTCTGAATTAGGAGTGTGCACATGTATGCAAATATGTATACTTACACCAAGAGAGAATGACAAATGTCTCTGCCCCAGTATGGAAATTGGTTCATGGTGTATAATCAAGGACTTGGTTCTGTGTACATGAATATATGACATTTGTGGACAGCTGGTATATTACCCGTGTTTATGGTCAGAAGTGCTTTATTTTGCCCTTGAAATAGCATTTGTTAGATAACTAATTGGATTTCAGATAATCAAGTTTATCTTCTGAGGCTGTTGGAGAGTTGAAGTAGAGTACTCCATAGTCGTTCCAGAGTTAGGAATACAGATTTGGTGAAGGTGAAGTGGTTGTGACAGGTAATACGTTAGAGACCACATCCATTCCACTCCACACCTCAGAGTTAGGTTGGTCCTGGCTTCTGGATTTTTTAACAAGCTCCCAGAGGATTCTTACACACACCCATGTTTGAGAACACTGGATTAGAAGGTTTGAAAACAGTACCGTCAAAATAATCATCAACAATATTTAGCCTAATGGAACTGAAACTGAGACATGTTTCTAAGGTTTAATTTTAAGAGTTGTTTGTCTGTGATAGCACCAGGCTAATTCTTACCTGGATGAGCAGGGGGAGGTCGACCTGAGCTGCCGTGCTTTTTGCTTAAAATAGTGTATGATTCTTCGCAGTGCTGGAGTGGTGGTTCTCTGAAGTAAAATGGGACTGCCTGGAACTTGTATTATCTCCTTATATACATACACCCTTATTAAGCATTACTACTTTCTGATATTTATGCCACAATTTTTGCCTGGTCACTTGACAGCAGCTACTTTAAACTCTTAAAGGTAAAAACAGGTTCAAATCTAAAAGATTGTCTTCAATTTGGAACCTCTGGTCTAGTTAACTTCCTAATATTTATATTTTGTTTGGATTTATTTTGCAGGTGGTTAAGGGTTCTTCTTTCTCCATTTGCACCAGACTATATCCAGCAGTCTCTCTTTCACAGAAAAGGTAGGTGTCTTGATCTTTGGGAAGGAAGGTATATCAAGGATTTACCAGGGTGCTTTTTCTTTTGATGAGTAACTGATTTGGAACTAGTAGTGGTTTTGCCTACATGCTAGACCTTTATTTATAAAGTCTTAATCTTACTAAGATTAAAGTAAATTAGTGATCTTTATCTATTAAAAAAAAAAAAAACCCATTGCCATTCAATCGATTTTGACTCATAGCGACCGTATAGGACAGCGTAGAACTGCCCCGTAGCGTTTCTAAGAAGCACCTGGTCGATTCGAACTGCCGACCTTTTGGTTAGCAGCCATAGCTCTTAACCACTACGCCACCAGTGTTTCCAAATGGAAGAGTCCCTCGCAGCTGAGTAGAGGCACCGCTAGGATTCGAACCCAGGATCTCCTGTTTACTAGACAGGCGCTTTAACTAGCTAAGCCACGGCACCAGCGCTCTTCATCTGTAGGCTCTGTGATTTGTGGCTCTAACAAGAAGCAATAGAAAATGGTTTTATTGACCTTCCACATCTTCATTTTACACCTGTCTCTTCTTAAGAGTGTCTTACCCTTGAAACTTGACAAAGTCAATGCAGGACTCTGTTATTAACTAGGGACTTGGTTTCCTCCTCCTTAGCCTCAGAAAAGGAACTACTCAGCTTTGAACACTCAACTTCGAACATTGTTCAAAGTATTGAGGCCAAGGTTGGGGATCTTTCACTTCTGTCTCTCTGTTCTTTCTTTTTATTTGTACTGGCATGTTAAGAAGAGAGGGCAGTTAGCCAAGGAACCAAAAGCCATAAAGGTAATTGATGAACCAACTCTACTCTGGCCTATGTATGCCATATCTCATAGGCCTGCCTCTTCTACCTGTGATTGCAGTACAGAGATAACGACCGTAGCTTCCATCAGAGTGACTAGGTGGGACTCTTTAGAATATAAATGTCTTTTGGTTTTTAGGTATAACTTCAGCAGTTCAGTAGACTTGAGTATTGCTTCTTCGTTGGCTTTGTATTTAACTTTGTTGTTTGACATTCCAGGTGTTAACGAAGAAAGCTGTTTCTCTTTCCTTCGATTTATTGATGTATCTCCAGCAGAAATGGCAAACCTCATGCTTCAGGGACTTTTGGCCAGGTGAGGAGTTTGCTTATTGTTTGAGGAAAATAAACAGGGACAGAGAATGAATAGTGTCAAGTTAAATACTGAATATTATGGCATATCATTTCAGAGAGGCTCTCATTCTTCTTCTGTTGTTAAGAATAAAATTTATTTATAGGAGAATAGTGCTTCTTTTATAATTTGACAGTTGTGTGGCATTTCATGATATACCTTCAATAAAAACCACTGGGACTCCTCTCCCATATATCTGCCAGTTCAAGTCCTCTAATTTCTAGTTAGTGTCTTCAGTTTTACTGGCTTCCACAGGACAAAAGGGGATTGGTGATTCATTTAGTTATTGGTGATTGCAGCATAGACTTGTTTAAACGTTGTTCTGGGCAACTTAGTCCTATGTTCTTATTCTCTGACGTGATGGCTTTAACTTATTTTATTACTTTGTGTTTATAGTAAAGAGTGACCTCATTAGGACAGCCTGTCTCCCTCATGTAAAGATGTTTTCTATGATAGAGTTTTTCTGATAGAGTTGAATATTCCTCAGTAGTGAGAGGAGCTTTACCAAGGATTTTAGGTTTCTCACGTAGAAACCAAGCAGCAAATCAAGTCGTGCCAGTGACGGAATTTATGGGACAGAAATGTGAAACGGCTTTATCTGAAAGTAAGAACGAGGCAGCTGTTTCTAAAGTGCTCAGTACTTGGCAAAAGAGACATGGTGATGACAGACGACCTTGGAAGGTTCCTCACTGCTGCGAACGACCCGCCAGCCTCCGTGGAGCACTGAATAAGCGTGTCTGCTGTGGTTTGTTTCAGATGGTTAGCTCTTTTCCTGTCTCTGAAAGCCTCCTACAGGCTCCATCAACTGCGCTCCTGGGGAGAGCCAGAAGGGGAGAGCCAGCAGAGATATCTGAGAAACAAGGATTTCCTTCTTGGGGTTAATTTTCCACTCTCCTTTCCCAACCTTTGCAGCTGCCCTTTGTTAAAGGTAAGCAATTATTTCTGCATAAACCCCCCTTTTCTTTGACTCAGTAAAAGTAGTAATAAAGTAAATGATGGCCTCATGCAGCCATAAAGGTCCCAGTTCAGTTACAGGTTACGTACAGGAATGTGCACAGATTTTATTTGTATAGCTCCATAAATGTATACCTGCGTGAACAACATGGGAAACATATTTATTTAATTGATAAACGTATTTAATGTCATTAAACTGTACATGTGAAGATTGTTGAAACGGCTAAAAGTTTGTTACCTGTGTATTTACCACAAGTCAAAAAAAATGATACAGAACGTTTTCAGTACCCCATTTAATACCTCTAGTTCAAAACAGACAAAAGTAATCACTGTTCTATTTCTATCACTAAAGATTATTTTTGCCTGTTTTTGAACTTGATATAAATGGAATTATCCAATATGTTCTCTTTTGTGTCTAGCTTCTTTTACTCAATATTATGTATGTGAGATTTATCCGTGTTGCATATAGCAATAGTTCGTTCTTTTTATTGTTGTGAACTGTTCTGCTATCTGAATAAGCCATAATTTATCTGTTCTATTGGTGGACATTTGGGTTGTTTCCAGTTTGTGATTATTATGAATAAAACTGCTGTGCACTTTCTTGTGTATGTCTTTTGGTGGATGTAAGCACTAGGTAATTTCTTTGGGGTTTATATCCAGGAGTGGAATTGCTGGATCATCAGGTATATGTATATTTAGTTTTAATAGCTGCTCCCAAACATTTTTCCAAAGTGGTTTTACGAATTTACACTCCCACTACCAGTGTGCATTTTCTCTAACACTTGGTATTATCATTTAATCGTAGCTGTTTTTATAAATTTGTGTGACATCTCACTGTGGTTTTAAATTGTATGTCCGTGGAAAGTAATGAGGTGGAGCACTTTTTCATACAGTTGTTGGCTATTGCAGAGTAAATAAGGGTGAGTGTGACAAGAAATGAGGTCAGAGATGTAGGTCCAGATCATGTGGGGCCTCATAGGTCGTTGCTGAGGACTTGGTTTTCATTCTGAATGAGAATGGGTAACACTGGAGAGTTTTAAGAAGAGGAATGACACTTAGTCTGTATGTTAGATCCCTTTAGCTAGATAAAATGTTTGGAAGGTAGGATGTTTTTTGGCTGATTCTGTTCTCTTACATTTTCTTGGTTGGTTTCTCGAGCATTGCTGATGGTCCATGTACTTTTTTGGACTCTGGAGATAGGACCAATAATGCAAAAGGAAAATAGAGTTAGATTCCAGCGTTTTAAAAATAATGTCAGTGTGGCAGGATGCCTTCCTACTGGTGAAAGGTTTCTTATGCATCTACTGAGAATACTGGTACTTCTGATGAAGAATTCCTTAACCTCCCTTAGACTGATTCCTTCTCTTAAGCCCTAAATTTAGTAATGTAGTTTGTTTACTATGTCTGTTTTTGGTATAGGAAAGCATCATTCTCCCAGGTATTTGTTATGCCTGCATCTTGTTTAACACTTGGAGATATGCAGCACTTATTACTTGTATCCTTCTCTGTTTCTGAAAATACAGTGGTGTGTTCAGAGTACCTGCTAAGATCCTTATATGCAATTAATGAATTGCTTAAGAAATTCAGATGTGAGCAATATGCTGTAAGGAGATTAGTAGTGAGATCTGAAAGCATCCTTTTTTTTTCCTCCGGTTTAGTGCATGTGGTTTTTTTTTTTTGTTTTAATTGTTGTAGTTTAAGTGAAAGTCTACAATTCAAGTTAGTCTCTCATATAAAAATTTATACACACATTGTTATGTGACCCTAGTTGCTCTCCCTATACTGTGACAGCACACTCCTCCTTTCCACCCTGGCTTTCCCGTGTCCATTCAACCAATTCCTGACCCTCTCTGCCTTCTCATCTCGCCTCTGGACAGGAGCCGCCCATTTAGTCTCATGTATCTACTTGAGCCAAGAAGCACACTCTTCCTGAGTATCGTTTTATGTCCCATAGTCCAGTCTAATCTTCGCTGTAGAGTTGACCTCAGGAATGGTTTTAGTTTTGGGCTAACAGAGAGTCCAGGGGACATGTCTTCTGGGGTCCCTCCAGTCTCAAACTGTTAAGTCTGGTCTTTTTACTAGAATTTGAGTTCTGCACCCCACCTTTCTCCTGCTCCATCAGGGACTGTCTGTTGTGTTCCCTGCCAGGCACCATCTAGTTCATCTGGTCTCAGGCTGATGAAGTCTCTGGTTTATGTGGCCCTTTCTGTCTCTTGAGCTAATACTTTCCTTGTATCTGTGGTGTTCTTCATTCTCCTTTACTCCAGGTGACTTGGGACCAATTGATGCATCTTCGGTGGCTGCTTGCTAGCTTTTAAAACCCCAGATGCCACTCACCAAAATGGGATGCAAAACAATTTCTTAATAAACTTTGTTATGCTGATTGACCTAGATGTCCCTTGAAAGCATAGTCCGCAGACCCCCGCCCCTGCTACTCTGTCCCTCCAAGTGTTTGGTTGTATTCAAGAGACTTCTTAGCTTTGGTTTAGTCCAGTTGAAAGTATACTTAATTGAAGTTAGAGTCACTTCTATTTCTGCTTTAATTTTATTCCCTTTATTGTAGATAGACATTTTTCTTGTAGTAGTTTAGAATGTATGTAGAGGCATTGAGCCAGTGGGCCATGGGTAGTTGAAAGCTCATCATAAAAATACGTACATACGTACATATTTAAAACAAAATATTCACAAAATAATGCATACTCTCATATACAGTATACTCTGATTTTCTTTTATTAAATTTCTTAAGAGTATTGGTTGTAACCTACTGAAATGATTTCCTGGCCTACGCAACTTACAGTTTGAAAAACACAGCACAGGGTGACCATGCAGTATTAAAATAACCAGAGGACTAGATAAAGAGAATCACCGTGTAAAAGATTCTGTACTGGTTTTTTAATAGTCAGCAAAGAAAGAAATGGACCTTTGGGGACTTAAGGAATCTCACTTCCTGAATATGAGAAGCACGTCCAGAAGCTGGTCAGAGAGCAGTTTACACATTTCATTGTAGAGTTACCCTGATGTGTAGTTAGCAATGCAGGTCCATCCATGCCTTAGTACATTTTGACACGTGCCTGTGAAATCCCTGGATTCAGAGGGAACATAAATAAAGATAAGCAACTTTGAAAGAACCGACTGATTCAAATATGAGCAAGTAGTTTATTATGGGAACTAACCCCCAAGAATGGCTTTGTTAGAATAGACTATCATGCCTGTGCACTGTTTCTCACACTGGTTTCTTCAGACTTCTAAATGTGTTTTGGGGGACCCATGAATTTTCTTATTTAAGAAACATTTGTCTCAAGAACATAGGTTTTGTCTGTTTCACTTAAGAGTAGAAAAGGAAATTTCAGACACCTAATCTTTTAGAACAGATTTCCAAAATTCATTAGTTAAGAGTATGTAGTAAAGACAGACATTATATATTAGCGTACACATACACGCCAGGCTTTCAAATTTCATAGTCTACTCTGATACTGCAAATTGGCAGCTTTAAAAAAAATATGGTTGATAAAAATGAGCCTTTAAAAAAAATATAACCCATCAAATATGGACAGCAGTGCTGAGACTTTAATATTTGTTATCTATTGTGCTGATGTTTGAATTCTTCAACTAGTTTTAAATACAAGATCTTGGGTTCTTTTTCATTGTATTGCTTTACGTGGCATAAATTCCTGTGCCTGTGAGTTGTGGCCTTTCATTCCTGGTATGACTTCATTTCTGCCTTTGGGGTCTACAAAAATATTTCTAGTATTGTTAATACAATTACAAATCTTACAGGAGACCCTTTTGCTTACATAGGATTCCAACTACTGTGAAATCAGAGAGAAAATTGTTTTATTTTCACAGAAAACAGACTTGTACCTATTCTTACTATTTTAAGTAAGTATTCTAAAAATACTGAGGAGTATTTGCTGTTACTTTTATGGTGAATTAGAAGGCCAGGAAGGAAAAGAAAAGTCTTGAGAGATTAGAAAAGGGCCAGTGTATCAATGTGGAGTCCTCTTTAAAACTTGGAGGGGATAGGAAAAAAAACCATACTGAAAAAGTGATTCTCTCAGATCCATTTGTTTTCCTTCTTTAGTAGATGACTAGCCAAGTAGATTACAGAAACAGGGAGAAAAAATAGGCATAATGCACTCTTAATATATATTAATATATTTTAAAGCCCTTTTTGTTGTTATCCTTTGAGATATTAACATATGTACAGAAAAGTGCACAAATTATAACTGTACATACAGCTTGATGACTTTTCACAAAACATGACCAGAACTCCACTCCAGAAGCCCCTTTGTGCCCACTTCCAGCCACTCTTCCTCTCTGATCCCCCCAAGAGTTACTGTAGGCAAGTATTTGGGTTGTTTCCAGTTTTTGTTATTACAAATAGTGCTGCTATGAACATTACTGTACATGCCTTTTAGTGAATATTCATACACATTTTTGGGGGGGGTATCTAGGAGTAAAATTGCTGGGTCATAGGGTATATACATCTTTAACAGACACTGCCAAACAGCTTTCTAAGGCAGTTGTACCAGTTTTTACTCTCATTAACATCGTATGAGAGTTCCAGTTGCTCCACATTCTTGCCGGAACATCTTTAGCCCTTCTGTGTAGTGGTCTCTCATAGTGGTTTTAAATTGTATTTCCCTCATAAACAATGATACTGGATACCCTTTCTTATGCTCACTGGGGTCTGGATAACCTCTTACGAAACATTTGTTCAAGTCCCTTGATTGTTTCTCTGTGGCATTTATTTATTTATATTTATTGATTTTCTATGATATTTTTCTTATTGTGTTGTTGTTCCGAATTATAAAAATGGCACGGGGGTGGCCTCTGACCTCCTCTGACTTCACAAGGAGGATGGAAAATCAAGATCAACAGCCCAAGGCTGATTCCTATGAAGCGGAGGTCAGACACGCCTTCTCTCTTCCGTCATCTTTACCAATTCAGACCCCAACCGTCCCTCCCATGGCA